TCTTCTCTGACATCGATCAAATCCACGTCAAACAAACACAGTTTCTAACACGTTTAATCCTGTTGCTGCCGCTGGTTTCCATCCAAGTTGTTTTTGGTTTATTTCTGGTCACGTTCCAACTTTATTTTCCCAGAATAATGAGTTGCAGATTTATGGATCGTGATTTGACAGATGTTGCATTATGCATTATGACAATCTCCTTCTTTACATGCAAAGATATACATTCTTAACTTTCCAAAAACAGAACAAAACCTTCCACTAACAGAATCCATTATTTATGTTTTTGACCCATTGGGAACATCTCAGTAATGTATGTATGTACACTGTAACTATGGAAACAATTGACAAGTTATTCTATAACTTGCTTCATATGCTCTGAGAAACCATTGATAAGAAAAAGAAACAATAATGGATCCATTTTTATATAAGCTCTTTTGGACGCTCAAAGACACACACACACACACACACACACACACACACACACCAGACTCATTCTAATGTGGGGGAGGGTAGCTTTCCCAGTCGCTATGTCACTATGGTCACTATAGTTTCTATGGCAACTATGTTCACTATGGCTACTATGGTCACTATGTGCACAATAGTTACAATGGTCACTATAGTTACTATGGTCACTATAGTTACTATGGTCACTATGGTTACTTTGGTTACTGTAATCACTATGGTCACTATGGTTACTATTGTCACTATGGTTACTATGGTCACTATGGTCCCTATGGGTACTAAGGTTACTATGGCCACTATGGTTACTAAAGTTACTATGGTTACTATGGTCACTAGGGTTACTAGGGTTACTAGGGTCACTATGGTTACTTTGGTTACTGTAATCACTATGGTCACTATGGTTACTATTGTCACTATGGTAACTATGGTCACTATGGTTACTACGGTTACTATGGTCACTAGGGTTACTTTGGTCACTGTGGTCACTATGGTTAATATGGTCACTACGGTTACTAGGGTCACTATGGTTACTAGGGTCACTATGGTCACTAGGGTTACTAGGGTTACTATGGTCACTATGGTTACTAGGGTTACTATGGTCTCTAAGGTTACTAGGGTTTCTATGGTCACTATGGTTACTATGGTCAATATGGTTACTACGGTCACTATGGTTACTATTTTCAGTATGGATACTTTGGTTACTGTGGTTACTATGTCACTATGGATACTATGGTTACTATGGTCAATATGGTTACTACGGTCACTATGGTTATTATGGTCACTATGGATACTATGGTCACTAGGGTTACTAGAGTTACTATGGTCTCTAAGGTTACTAGGGTTACTATGGTCACTATGGTTCCTAGGGTTATTATGGTCTCTAAGGTTACTAGGGTTACTATGGTCACTATGGTTACTATGGTCAATATGGTTACTACGGTCACTATGGTTACTATGGTCACTATGGATACTATGGTCACTATAGTTGCTATTGTTACTATGGTTACTATGGTCACTATGGTTACTTTGGTTACTGTGGTTACTATGTCACTATGGTCACATTGGTTACTTAGGTTACTATGGTTACTATGGTCACTATGGTTACCAGGGTTACTATGGTCACTATGGTCACCAGGGTTATAAGGGTTACTATGGTCAATATGGTTACTATGTCACTATGGTTACTATGGTCACTATGGTCACTACGTTCACTATGGCAACTGTCAAAAATCATTTTCTTTCTCTGTTTGGAGCTAATTTCTCTGTAATCTCTAGAACCATCCACAGAAACAGCTGTGCAACAGCGTTAGGGTTAGGGTTAGCTCCCATCTCTGTGTGGAGTGAGAGATAAATGCCCCAAAAAAAAAAACAATTGTAAACCACTTTGTGACTCTGGTCTGTGAAAGGCGGTAGATAAATAAAGATTACTTACTTACAGAGTCCTGACCAAGCACCTCTTTGACCTTTATCTTATTTTCTTTATTTATCTATTGTGTTTTTATTGTTATTTGAGTATTTTCAAATGTGAGGATTTGATGAATATTTTGTCCAAGTCTTTCTCTTTTTAACTGCAAAAAGTACAAATAAAGTCATCAACAATATACGCGAACGACAGGCTCCACAGTTTTACAGACTTTCATTGTTGACACATATTTATTTATTTAGGCTTTTAACACCGAGTTTTTTCTTTTTACTTGTATTTTTATGTATTTTATGCTGTTTTCTTTTATCTTTTGTGCCTGTGAAGAACTGGTGTAAATGTGCTATACGATTAAAGCTGACATTGATTTGAAGCGTAATGACACATGGAGTATATTTCTGTCATTATTTTCATGACATTTTTTAAGTGCTAGTAATTCTACCTCTCACTCCCACTGCAGTCATTTTGACAGCTCCATTCATTTAAAAGTACAATTTAAATTTGTCGTTTTTACAACGACATCCTGTGGCACTAAAACTGCTCTCCGCACGGTTCTGGTCCTGGTCCTGGTCTTGGTCCTGGACCGGTTCTGTAGTTCACATTATTACCGACCATTTTACAGCACATGAAGTGAGTTAAGGAAAAGGCTCGGATAAGTAAGTCATGTTTTTTTATATCACTTTACAAGGTTCAGATATTGTTTCATTCTCTCCACACGGTGACGACGGCAGACGCTGAACACACCGGTCCATCAAAGCCTCCGACCAAACACCCTCCATTCACTCTTCACATTCAGACCTATTGTACGTGTTTTTAGTTGTAGGGGAAACTGGAGCACCCGGAGAAAACCTACGCAGACACAGAGTGAATATTCAAACTCCACTCAGAATGGCCTTTTTTGGAATTTCCAGTGTTGCAGCGCACACACAGGACAGTGGAGCACACAATATATACAATATGAGTAGCTGCTGCTTCTTAGCTTATTTTTGATAAAACGGGTGTTTTTCAGATTTCTCTTGATCTGAACGTGAAACCGACTGCTCTCTGACTTCTGGAGCAAAAAAGCCTCTTATTTTTACTCATAATGAAGAGGAAACTTTCTGTCAAACTCATTAAAACCTCCACATATTCCTCTGATTCCCGGTAAAACGTTGTGAAAGTCCATCGTTGCAGTAGTTTCACAACCCCTCGCTCTGAGTCTGAGTTGCCCAAGTCCTCAGGCTCATGCTGCAAACGGGAAGTGAAACCCCGACAGTTCAACAACACCTGCCGCTAACACCTTCTTACACATCTTAAACGTTACATACATATTTGTTTGTTTACTCCCTGGTCTCTCCTCTTCTGGTGCCGCTGCTGCTGGTTTGAAGCCAGTCACTATGGGAGAGTCCACAGATGTTGAGTAACGTTCGTCTAAGCTTGTTGTAGCATGACTTTTTGTCGTAGCCTCCAACTTAAAGGGGAAGTAGGAGTTTAACAAGTATTTTACCACATGGTTTTCACATACACACAAATACTAATTTTGCCTTTTGCAAGACTGCGGACCAATTTTGAACGCCAAGAACGCAGCCGTACCAAAGTTTACCGGTTATTTGATTTGACATATGTCTTCTTTGTCGTCTTGACTTCTTAAATACAATGTTCTTTTACACTTTGACCATAAAAAGCCAGTCTGAGGTTAAAATGTGTTTGAGGAGAAGTAGTTTTACGGCGTTATTACAGTCGAAAAGGTCTGATAACATTGTAGATTGTCCGGCAAAGCTTAAGAAAAGACAGAGGCCAAAACTAAACTGTATTGAAAGTAAGGATCTAATAGAATAGATTTGATGACATTGTTCAATATTTTTGTTTTTTGCAAGTTAGCTACGCCAAATTTTGTGTTGCTAACAATTCTATACAGGCATGTTTGACTTTATTATTGATGTTTCTGTCTTTGTAGACCATTTGCACGACTGAAACTGCACATGTAGCAACGTATAGCGGTGTCAAAGCCTGGTTTTAGCTCATGTTTCGAAACAGATTTGCTAAGTCATCGGTTCTGCCGCTGCACAAACAGACACAGGTTATGGCCAGAGGAATGCTGATTGTTGTTGACTTTTTGGTGGTGAAAACGGTGCTTTTCATGTCATTACACGCCAGAAAATGTAGGTTAAACATGAGAAAGTGGAGCTAGCATGTCGTATAGATATTTTATCTGAAATGCACGCCCCCTTTTTTCCTCTTTAACACATTTTTGCACAAGTTTAGGGTCCTATAGACTTTTCAAAATTGACGTCTGTTTGTGACTATTTTATAACAGAGAAAACATATATGCTTAATTCTTCAAAGGTTTTATGAATGCAACCGTATATTTAAAACCAGATCAGGATTAGGAGAGCCTGAAATGGTCCCACAGCGGGGAAATGTCAGTGTTGCATCTCAAGTTACAGACAGTAGGAATGAGGAGCACACAGCACATGATGAGATGAGTGAATATGGAATAGAATAGACGGATGGGTTTAAGTCACAAAAGAAGATAAATATTACTTTTCTCAACACTTTTACTATCAATGCACCAATCTCAAGTGAACCCCAAACCTTTGTGAAGAGTTATTTTGAAGACAGAAAAGTTGCAAAACAGTAAAATACACAGATTTGGTGGAATAACCCTGTAATACACTGCAAAAAATGATAATAATAAGGTAATAAATGCTTGAATCAGGTGGTTTTATCTTAATATGGCACATTTTGACAGTCTAAAAACAAGATTTGCCATTGGGACAAGCAAAAATGTCTTGTTAAAAAAAGATACAAGACAAATATAGAAATATCTGCCTTGGAATATGAACAAAAATTGCAACTGCACTTGAAAAAAGAGCAACTGGCTTTTTCAAAGTCAAAATATACTGAAATTTAGATAAAAATAATGGTTTCAAGCATTTTTTCACTTATATTTTGTCACTTTATGCAGTGTACATGTGCTACAAAAGGAGAAAAAGCTTATATTAAGGTCGCGATAATATTAATCAGACTTTAAAGTAGCTCAACCATGCAAAAATCTTCAATCCCGACTTTGCTAATGCGTGTCAAAGTTGCCGACATTGTCCAAAAAGTCCCCAATCCAACCCTCTCAGCATCTTACCTGTGGTTCTGGTCCCCCTCCTGCTTGTTTGGCAGATACCAAATCCCTGAACGAGACTGTGGAGCACAATCACTGCAACTTCATCTTCTTTCAGCCCCCAAAAAAACGACACAAAACACAGAGAGAAAGCTAGAAGTTTCCTGACACGCTCCGACCGCTGCTCTCTGCGTCTGCGTCTAGATAATGTTCACTCGTAACTACTTCCTTGAGGAACTAAATGGCCTCGACACACCCCTCTCTGCTTCTTACTCACTCGCTCTCTCTGCTCCCATGAGCTCTTTCCCTCGCAAATTCAAAAGAAAAAAGTTGCTGCAATCTCTCAGGTCATTTGTAAACGATCTAAAATGCGTTATTTTCGGTCGTTGCAAATGACACAGAGACTTTTTAATGCTGTCCTTCTGTGTTAAAGAGTAAGAAAAATGACTTAAATGTAGAATTTGGACGGCTCCAGTCATTTCAATTTAAAATCTAGCCATTTCTGGTCACTTGGAAATCAATATTCTACAACAGCTGTACTGAAACTGCAAAAAGTGGTGAAAAATACGTCAAAATGTGTCTTAATTTGAGCAGATTCTGACAATATTTGCCGATGGGACAAAGGTAAATGACTGTGTTTTGAAAAGATACAGGTTCAAGACAAAATGGCTTTGTCCCATTTGCAAATGTTGTTTGAATACAGTCAGAATGCACTCAAATTATGACAAAAAACACTCTATTTCCTCATTTTTGCAGTGAACTAACCCAACTGGCTACCTCTGCTTCTGCTTCTACCTCTTGCTCTTTCAAATGGCAAAAAAAACCCCGACAAAACCAGAAAGAATTTGTCAGTAATCCAGCGTCGCGGGCTCTGAAAAGGGAGTGGCTTAAGTCCTTTATTTTTGTGTGTACCTTTGTTGGAATGTGGCTCTGACAGCGCTAACGTCGGCGCGTGTCTGTGTGTGAGAAACAAAACAAAAGCCGGGAGTTAGCCGTGTGGGGCAAGGCGAAACCCGGGCCCATGCTAATGCTAATGCTAACAATGACAGCTCTGTTGTGGTTGCTATTGGTAAGCTAATGAAGCGACAGGTGCGTTAGCATTGTTGTGTTGGAATGACTTGTTATTGGCAAAGAATGTTGGGATGGGGATAGATGTAAACACAGCTAAAGCTAAAGACACTAGAGAATATTTTTTTGGTTGAAAAATATATATATCTTAACTCAAGGTATATTTAAAATCTATAGGCAACTTTGGTCACTTGGAAATCAATATTATATGACAGTTAAAGGCTGGATCTACAGCCTCAGTCCTGGGTCTACAGCCTCAGTCCTGGATCTACAGCCTCAGTCCTGGATCTACAGCCTCAGTCCTGAATCTACAGCCTCAGTCCAGGGTCTACAGCCTCAGTCCTGGGTCTACAGCTTCAGTCCTGGATCTACAGCCTCAGTCCTGGGTCTACAGCCTCAGTCCTGGGTCTACAGCTTCAGTCCTGGATCTACAGCCTCAGTCCTGGGTCTACGGCCTCAGTCCTGGGTCTACAGCTTCAGTCCTGGGTCTACAGCCTCAGTCCTGGGTCTTCAGCCTCAGTCCAGGGTCTACAGCTTCAGTCCTGGGTCTACAGCCTCAGTCCTGGGTCTACAGCCTCAGTCCAGGGTCTACAGCCTCAGTCTATTGTCAACACAAACGACCGTGTGTCAGACCTGCCGCACCTTTAATGTGCAACTGCGGTTTCTCTGTCACAAGAAGAACCTGAGCTAATAATAACCCGGGCTTAGTCAAACAGCAGGGATTTGACATCACTGTTGTATTGTCTGCGTATACAGGCGTGTGTGTGTGAGTGCATATGTGTGTGTGTGTGTGCGTGCATATGTGTGTGTGTGTGTGCGTGCATATGTGTGTGTGTGTGTGTGTGCGTGCATATGTGTGTGTGTGTCTGTGTGTGTGTGTGTGTGTGTTGCTAAATTAACCGGGTATGACACAACACAAAGTTCCCGACTAATTATTAAATCTCCAGAGACTCAAACAGACAACTGTGTTATTAGAAAAGTATTGATGTTTGCAGTGGTTACAACAAGACTCCGCCTCCAGATCTCTCTGTGTGGAGTTTGCATGTTCTCCCTATGTCTGCGTAGGTTTCCTCCGGGTGTTTCGGTTTCTCTATCACTAAAAACATGTAAAACAGGTCTGAATGTAATGACAGAGTGACTGGAGGGTGATGGGGAGGGGCTTTGACTCCGTGTGTGGAGAGAATGGAAATGACCAGTTCACAAAGACTACGTCTGGTCTTACCATGTGTAAACTCTGGTCCATGATCATTTCCTACATGTACATCTGGTCTTACCATGTGTAAACTCTGGTCCATGATCATTTCCTACATGTACATCTGGTCTTACCATGTGTAAACTCTGGTCCATGGTCATTGAATCCGCTCTGACCAATCAGAGAGCGAGGGAGGCGGGTGTTGTAGGTCGGTGTCGGTGACGTCAAGAGTTTGTGCTGAATTTTCTGGTTGTAGTTTGTCGGAGAATGCGATAGTAAAATAATCTTTTCTGGTTCAATCCAAACATCAAGAAACTCAAGCCGGAGCAAGAAGAATGTTTAGTAAATGTCATTGAAGCAAAGATGTTGTGGCTCTACTCCCCACGGGCTCCTTTAGTGGCAAAGGAGATGGCTAAAGCTAGGCTACATGCTAAAGCTAGGCTAAATGCTAAATGCTAGTGATTCACTCTGGCTCATTACAAACGTCACAGTAAACTCAGATCCAATTGTTTCAATCTTTAAAGGAGTTAGCCCCTCCCCCCTGTTAACCGAGTCAATGGAGAAAATCCAGACCTTAGTACCAAATGAAATGAGTACAATGGTGTGGTAAGACCAGGCTAGATTATGCCGTAGGTAAAAAGTGTGGCCTAATGAAGATGACACAATAAAGTAATAAAAAATAAAACGTTTGTCCAGTCGCTTAAGGCCACGGTAAGAATCGGTCTTTGTCTATGATCCATATCAGCATCTGTCCATGAATGGATCATTGTAGCTGTCATAAAACCGGCCGGTGGACACACTTATCTCTCCTGACACACTTCACAGAGTTGTGTGTTTTGTGTAGAGTTGTGTGTTTTGTGGAGAACACACAGAGCTCACCCAGAAGCTCTGAACTGAGTCATTTAGAAAAGGGGAAGTGACCGTGTTTATCTACAGCTTTATCTCAATGGTGGCCACTTAGACACAGCACCAGTGTGTGTGTGTGTGTGTGTGTCTGTGTGGGTGTGCGTGTGCGTGTGTGTGTGAGTGTGCTGTGTGTGTGTGTGCGTGTGTGTGTTTGTTTGTGTGTGCGCGTGTCCTAATTGTTGTCAGATGCTGGGAGTCAAAAGGTGCACTGGGAGGTGGCCACTGGAGAGGACGACTACTGCAAAAAGTGATGAAAATAAGTCAAAAATTGCTCAAATCTCTGGTTTCTCTCCTTGGTCTCTCTCTTTGGTCTCTCTCTGGTCTCTCTCTCTGGTCTCTCTCTTTGGTCTCTCTCTGGTCTCTCTCTAGTCTCTCTCTTGTCTCTCTCTAGTCTCCCTCTAATATCTCTCCCTGGTCTCTCTCTAGTCTCTCTCTTTGGTCTCTCTCTAGTCTCTCACTAGTCTCTCTCTAATCTCTCTCTCTGGTCTCTCTCTAGTCTCCCTCTAATATCTCTCCCTGGTCTCTCTCTAGTCTCTCTCTTTGGTCTCTCTCTAGTTTCTAACTAGTCTCTCTCTAATCTCTCTCTCTGGTCTCTCTCTAGTCTCTCCCTCTAATATCTCTCCCTGGTCTCTTTCTAGTCTCTCTCTAGTCTCTCTCTTTGATCTCTCTCTAGTTTCTCTCTGGTCTCTTTCTAGTCTCCCCCTCTCATCTCTCTCTCTCTGGTCTCTCTCTAGTCTCCCTCTTTGGTCTCTCTCTAGTCTCTCTCTCTGGTCTTGCTCTGGTTTTTCTCTGGTCTCTCTCTCTAGAATATTGGAAACATGTTGTGTATGTATTGTAATGTTGTGTATTGTATATTTACACATACAGCTGGTTGTGTTGCTGTGTCTGAGCAGAGACACACTTCCCCGTCCACACACACACACTTCCTCCTGTCTGATTCATTTGGATTTTTTCTTGATTTATTTTCATTTTAGAGTAAAGTATTTGTACTCAGATACCAGCCAAATGTGTGACTACCAAAACAGAGTCTCTCAAACTTCCCCAAATCTCTCCAAAGAAGATCGTAAGTAACTGCGAGTCTGAGGTTCTTTCATCGCAGCCGTGACCAGAGCGAGTCGTTGGATCTGTGCCTTTACAGAAACAGGCTGCAAACAGGAGAATAATGTGATTTCTTACTAGTTACTTCTATGTAATATTCTCTGAAAGAAGGACTGAGCTGAGAGACCAGACAGAGAGAAGAGAGGGACCAGAGAGAGAGAGAGAACAGAGGGAGATCAGAAAGAGAGACCAGAGAGAGAGAAAAGGGATAAAAGAGAGCAAGACCAGAGAGAGACCAGAAAAAGAGACTATGAGAGAAACTAGATAAATACCAAAAAGGGACTAGAGAGAGACCAGAGATTGAGAGAGAGCAGAGAGATAAACTAGAGAGAGACCAGGGAAAGAGACTAGAGAGACCAGAGATAGACTAGAGAAGGACCAGAGAGAGACCAAAGAGGGACCAGAGAGACTAGAGAGAGACTAGAGATAGACAAAAGAGGGACCAGAGAGACTAGAGAGAGACTAGAGAAGGACCAGAGATAAACCAGATAGAGAGAGACCAGAGAGATGTGCTCGCTCTGAAAGAGGACTGTGATCCGTTCGCGCTTGGAGGTTCTTTAGGACTCCTCTGGCCCCTGGCAAAGCCATGTTACAGCTTCTTCGCTCTGGCAGAAAGCAGACACAGCTTGTTTTATTCATGTACGTGTCTGGTGCACACTGGGGACTCTCGCACATGTATTCCAATGTGGTTTTACTGCAACTGACCAAAAAATAAACAGAATCTGAATTGCGATGTCTGGACAATTACATATTATTATTCCAACACGTTCAGTCCAAGCACCTGTACCGTGGATAAACTCTTCCAAAAACACAAAAATACCAGAATATGAATAGGACCATGTGGGCGACATTGACAAGCCCATGTTCTGTTCCTCCTCTGGTCTCAGTCCAGTCTCAGTTGGACCATAAGTGTTACCAGATGACGTCGGGACCTCACAACACCTGCTTTGTTTAGGCTCACTCTACATTTTAATTGAAGAAGCAGAAGACTAGGACTTGAGTGTTATTTGGATCGTAACCAGTTTTATGTGGATTTCTTTGTACAATCCTTCTGCTCCTGGTCTCTTCAGATCCGGTTGTGTCTGGTCCCTGCACCAGTAACTTTGTCAGTCTGCCTCTGCTTTGGTCTTTCTCTGGTCTCTCTTTGGTCTCTCTAGTCTCTCTGGTCTCTTTCTGGTCTGTCCCTCATCTCTCTGGGTCTCTCTCTTTAGTCTCTGTGGTCTCTCTTTGTGGTGTTTCTGGTCTCTCTGGTCTCTCTCTGGTCTCTCCCTAGTCTCTTTCTGGTCTTTGTCTCTCTGTGGCCTGCCTCTCTGGTCTTTCTCAGTGTTTCCCGGGTCTCTCTAAAGTCTCTCTCCAGTCTCTCTCCGGTCTCTCTCTCTGGTCTCTCCCTAGTCACTCTCTGGTATGTTGTAAATAAACTTGTTAAACTTTATCAGGTCGTTCTCTGGTCTCTCACTCTGACTTGTCTCCCGCTCCTCCTTCTCTCTGGTCCCTCCCTTTAGTCTCACTCTGGTCTCTCTCTGGTCCCTCCCTCAAGTCTGTCTCTGGTTCTTCTCTCCTCCTTCTCCTCTCCTGGTTCTCCTCTCATCCTTCTCCTGGTTCTCCTCTCCTGGTTCTCCTCTCCTCCTCCTTCTCCTCCCCTCGTCACAGAACACGCTCTGCCTAAATCGCTGAGTTTACAAATTAGGTCTGTCGCCGTGGAAACGGGCAGGAAGTGGCGGTTTCCTGATGACTTCCTCCGTTATCGAGTAACAACATCTGACATGAGCGTTTGTCTCAACACTGTGGAACTGTGAGAGACCAGAGTGAGACCAGAGAGAGACTGGAGCGAGACCAGAGAGAGACCAGAGAGAGACCAGAGAGCGACCAGAGAGAGACCAGAGAGAGACCAGAGAGAGACCAGAGAGAGACCAGAGAGAGACCAGAGGGAGACCAGAGAGACACCAGAGGGAGAGACCAGAGAGAGACCAGAGAGAGACCAGAGAGTGAGACCAGAGAGAGACCAGAGAGAGAGACCAGAGAGAGACCAGAGAGAGACCAGAGAGTGAGACCAGAGAGTGAGACCAGAGAGAGAGACCAGCGAGAGACCAGAGAGAGACCAGAGAGAGACCAGAGAGAGCAGAGGCTGTGGCCTCTTCAGGGACAGAGTGTGGTCTGTGACACAACAGAGATGTTTAAAGTCTGTTATTTAAAGATCAGTGAAGATTATTCAAACCACGAGAAGTGACGCAGTCAAAATGACTGCAGAGGAATCTTCTGAGCCGAGGATCATGGTCCTTCTCCCAAAGGATCATAGTCCTTCTCCCTGTCTTCGAGAGGGCCGATACAAAATGGTGTGAAAGCAGAAAGAGTGAGGTCTCCGGAAATACAGCTTTGAGTGGTTTAGGGTCAGGGGTTTTTGCCCATTTTTCTCTACATAACAGCTCAATCTAATATCAGATAGAGCTTTAGTGAACAGACACTGGATGTTTATATACAAGTACACGCACATGAGCACATAGACGCACACACAAACACATACACACACACAGGCGCACACACAGAGACACAAAGACTTAAAAAGACACACATTTATATGATGTGACCAAAACAGACAAGATCATTCAAACATAATTGTTGTGTGTGGTTATAAAAAAGTCAGACAGGACTCACTTTATGGACACGGCGACAGACACAGGTGTTTTAATGATACTTTAGTGACTTTTTATGTACATTTTTAAACAACATTAAGTACAAAACAGAGAAACAACACATGTACAGCTACAGGTCCTGCCTCCCCCCTCACCCCCCTCTCCCTCCCCCCTCACCCCCCCTCTCCCTCCCCCCTCACCCCTCTCCCTCACCCCAACACCCCTCCTCACCCTCACACCGCCCCCCCTCACCCTCACACCGCCCCCCTCACCCCCCTCTCCCTCCCCCTCACCCCCCCTCTCCCTCCCCCCTCACCCCAACACCCCTCTCCCTCACCCCAACACCCCCCCTCACCCTCACACCGCCCCCCCTCACCCCCCTCTCCCTCCCCCCCCCTCTCCCTCCCCCCTCACCCCAACACCCCTCTCCCTCACCCCAACACCCCCCCTCACCCTCACACCGCCCCCCTCACCCCGCCCCCCATCACCCTCACCTCGCCCCCCCTCACCCTCACCCCAACACCCCCCCTCTCCCTCACCCTGACGGCAAACAACACATCCATTCAATATACCGCCAAAAAAATACCGTCCCCCCCCCTTTTTTCTGATAATAGTTCAATTGTGTTGGGTAATTGTGAGTTTTGTTACTATTTGTGAGTTTTTAGAGACACAAGAGACAGATCCAGGTCCAGCAAGTGACGTGTGAGATGAATTCCTACTAAAGAACTACACGTACACACATTTCAGTTATCGTCCACTCTATACTAAGTGATTACACTTAACAAATCTAAAGGCAGTCAAACTAACGGCTCTGGGTGTTCTACCTTTTCATCACTTTGGTTTACCTTGGCCCTTTTTTATAACTTCATGAGAGATAATAGACTTTAATCAGTAAAAGACCTATAGAAGAAGATCATATAAGAAAGAGGTAGAGAGAAGCCAAGACGCTGTATAGAAAGTGTCCTGGATTTAAGAGTTAGTCTTAGCTGCAACTTTGGCTTCTAAAGTGTTAAATGTGTTCAAAAAATATAGATTGATTGAGTTAACACAGGAATCTTTCTCTTGTGGCTCTAACGACTCACCCCCCCTCCCCCCCTCTCTCTCCCCCGGTTCCTCTCTCTCTCTCCCGCGGTCTCCCATCCTTCTCTCCCCTCCCTTTCTCCCGTCCCTCTCTCTCGCTACCCGCCCTCTCTCCTCTCCCCTCCCTCGGTTTCCCATCCCTCCCTCTCTCATCCCTCTCTCCCACAGTCTCCCATCCCTCTCTCTCCTATCCTTCCCTTTCTGCCGTCCCCCTCTCTCCCCTCCTTTTCTCCCTTCTCTCTCTACCCGCCCTCTCTCCTCTTCCTCTCCTCCCTTTCTCTCCCCTCTCCCTCGGTCTCCCATCCCTCCCTCTCTACCGTCCCTTTCTCTCCTTTCCCTCACTTCTATCCCCTCCCTGTCTCTCCTCCCTCTCTTCCCTCCCTTTCCTCCTTTACCTGTCTCCCCTCCCTCTCTTCCCTCCCTGTCTCCCCTCCCTCCTACCCTTCCCGTTGTCTCCCATCCCTCACAGGACCACACAGGACGTGCTGCGCATGGGCAGGTTGGTGGGCAGCTTGGTGTACTCCCTGAAGCTGTTCCTCTTGTTGAACAGCAGGGGGCCGGGTACGTCCAGTCCGTCGGCGGGGGGGGAGGGCACGCTCTCTGCCGCCGCGGCCGGACCCTGCAGAACTTCCGGCTTGGCTCCCTTGTTGTTCTTAGTCTTTTTGGCTCCTCTCTCCTTCTCCACGGGCTCGGCCGACACGGAGCGCGCCTCGCTGACGGCCTCCGGGGGCAGCAGAGAGTCCGGCGGCTGCTCGCTGGGGCTGGGCTTGCCTCCCTCGGCCGGCTCCTCACTGCTGGTGATGTGAAGGTTAGAGGCTGGTAGAGCAAGCGGTGACATCACACAAGAGGATTTCAGTCCGACCACGGCGAGGGCTGAAATCTCCTTCATGCACCGTCATCACGCTTTGGTCTGAGTGGAATTCTGGGTCACGATTTAGAGAAGCCCGGGATAATTAGCATTGAATTAACAGCTAAATAGTTTACGCTGCAAAAAGTGATACAAAATAAGTAAAAATGGCTCAAATTTTGCCTGCCGTTGATGTATTTGTCTGAGACTGGTGATTTCTGTCAAACTTCCCTCTATTCGACTGGGGATTACATGAGAACAAAACTAGCTTGAAACAAAATTATTTTTTTCTGATGAAATTAGACAATCCGGTCTTTCAGAATCTGGTTTATTTTTTCACATAGTCTTAGCACATAATATTCTGTGGGTCTTGAAAATCAGTTAGATCGTCAAAAACGGCTGGCAGTCAATGAGTTAATCTGAGCACATTGGTGTGTCCTGTTGGAGAATCTTGTTTTAAGTCTCAGTAAGTCTCAGTCACTTGTGACTGAGACTTAAAACAAGATTCTCCAACAGGACACACCAAAATGATCTCCTCTGGAATGAGAAAAGAAAGCAACAGTTCTTGAGTTCAGACTAAATGGTTTTGTCTCGTTGGAGAATCTAGTTTTAAACCAGTCACAAACCTCAGATTAAGACACATTTTGCCAAATTTAAACTCATTCTTGATTTATTTTTCAGCCCTTTTTGCAGCGTTGTGGTTATTTGCACTCAAGGTCTTTAATTCAGACTAAATGACTTTGTCCCGTTGAAGAATCTAGTTTTAACACGGTCACAATGTGTCAGATTAAGGTAAAAACTCTTGATTGAAGCATTTATCCCCTCATTTTTTATAATTTTTTACAGTGTACCCAAAGCCTTTTTTTCCATTTAACCGTTATTTAATCTCTTTTTAAAGGGAGTCCAGGTCAAAACGCAGCTAAATAAAGACTTAAAATTAAACATTCTAACTTTAAATTTAACCCAGACGGGAAAGAGTCAGTTTTGAGGTTAAATTTTATCTTTTTAATTAAACTTCTACCTCTAAATACTGAATTTTTCATAGGTTTTTGCTCCGTAATGTTGTATTTTCTGTTTCTATTTGATTTTGAAGCACCTTGAGTTCCACTGTACAAACTGTGCTTCATAAATAAATACATTTTTTTTATATTAATCGGAGCAGAAATGACACTATCCTTAGTTTTATGGAGATACTTTTGGCCGTTCTTGTGTTGCCTTCTGCAGTATATTCACAAACACATGCAGATATATATATTTGCACATTAATATACACAGAAACAGTGTCTGCCGTAGTTTCACCGTCTGTCGCTGTATTTACAATGTGTCAGCTCGAAACGGAGAAGGACGTCCAAACTTTCAGACTCTCTCCCAAAAGAACACAATTTAAATAGATTATACTGACTCTATTCTTTAGCATTAGTTAGCTTGTAGATTAGCGAGTTAGATGTTGATGATTCTCTTCATGGCGATGCAACACTGGCATTTCCCCACTGTGGGACCGGATCTCTGAATCTGGAATCTTAAAACAGTTTCCAGACTTATGTAAGGTCGACAATAACTATTTAATATTCGAAAAAGTGAATGCTGATTGGCTGAAGGGATTTATGAATAAGTTACATATGCAGCCCTCCATCCGTCTGATCGTATTAATATAAAGTACAATATTAAAGTACTTTATGATGATTAAGAAGTAAAGTAACGTTAAGTAAAGAGAAAACTACAATTCCTACCACACACTTTAATCTCACTGTGATGAAATTTGGCATAAAACTCAAATACATTCTGTCATCACCAATGGCTTTGGTCTCCATGACTGACAACACACAGATACAACAAGCAACCAACAGAGTCCTGGATCTACAGCCTCAGTCCTGGGTCTACAGTCTCAGTCCTGGGTCTACAGCCTCAGTCCTGGATGTACAGTCTCAGTCCTGGATCTACAGCCTCAGTCCTGGATCCCTCTTTCAATGTGGGCCCTGACGAGATTTCTCACTTTTTTTCCGGGTTAATTTTCTGATCAGTTGTTGACGAATCGACAAATTTGTAAAGTCCTCCGAGACTTTTTCTGTTGTCATTAAGACACACAAATACATTGAATAGAATTGTATACTCAGCACATACATTATTTAGCAACTTTAGGAACAAAACAGCTAACTATGCTAATCATGCTACGGGCACAGGCCATGGGTCTGAGTGGGCGGCCATCTTGGAGATCTTTGTTATGCGAGATAGTTGGATGGTTTTGTACTTTCTCTCTCTCTCTCTCTCCTTAAGTCTCTCTCGTCTGCGGAGCCTGTGAACATCAGTTGTCAGAAACAAACCGTGTTGGCTGAGTGCGATGGGGGCTTGAGGGTGATGGGGGCTGGAGGGTCGGTGAGGGCCCTCTGGTTGATGGGAAGGGGGCCGGCAGAGCAGAGTGTGTGAGAGCTGACGGTGGAGAGCCTCCAGACCACGGCCGGTTGTTGACAGCTCACATTTAACCAGAGAAACTTCAGTCTGAGGACCGCGATTAACGACAACAGGTTGGAGACTTGTTCTGCTGAAGCCGGAGCTACAGAGGTGTGTGACAATGTCTAACAAGCAGTCAAAATGACGGCTCTGGGAGTTCAAGTGGTTGGAAATTTATCGTCCTGCTCGAGGGCCTGTGCTTCTTCACTCTTTTCAATGCACTGTGATTATTTCTGGTCTCAATGCCTGAGTTCACAGGTCATTAGCTGAAGCTTGTGTATCATAATATAAAACATCTGTAGCGTGAGCTCAATTATGTTATGATGTAAAATAGAAAACACATTCATTTCCGAATAAATGACTTCACACAACCACTAACAATGAGTGAAAGTAAAGTGCTTGTCCTATTCTGTCTTATAATTTCCAAAACCTAAATGCCCTGGGACAGTGTGCACAATAACCACTGCAGTCTACCACCACCAGGGGGCGACATTAGTCCACACAGGAGTCAGGAGCCTCTGTTGGGTTTTTAAACACTGCAGCTCGAGTCCTGACTCAAATCAGGAAGTTCTCTGCGGCTCAGAGAATAGTCCAAGCCCCTGTGATCCAAGATGGCGTCCTATTCAAATCAACGGACCTACACAGGGACTGAAAGATTAGCGGAACTCTCCCATATTTGCTCAGCTCTGCGCAGTGGAGGCTCCCATGATGCTTTGTGCCAAATATGAGTGTGTGGCTCTCATGCACGTGCACAGAGGGGCTCGACCTCTTTAAAGCAGCTGCTCGTGTCAGAGTCTCTCCACGACCTCGCACCAAAGTAAATCTGTGACATGTTAGTGCCATATAATCCAACTCTGAGGAGCACAGGGACTGGCCTCTGGGGTCTCTGTTGTGTCCCTGTTGGGCCTCTATCAGGTCTCTGTTGCGTCCCTGTTGGGTTTCTGTTGGGTCTCCATCAGGTCTCCACCAGGTCTCTATCAGGTCTCCATCAGGTCTCCCTCAAGTCTCTATCAGGTCTCCATCAGGTCTCCATCAGGTCTCCATCAGGTCTCCATCAGGTCTCCATCAGGTCTCAATCAGGTCTCAATCAGGTCTCTCTCAGGTCTCAATCAGGTCTTTATCAGGTTTCTATCGGGTCTCTCTCAGGTCTCTATCAGGTCTCTCTCAGGTCTCTCTCAGGTCTCTATCAGCTCTCTCTCAGGTCTCTGTTGGTCTAAACTCATATGGGACTCACCCAATGGAGCTGAGTTCCTCTGCGTCCTTCTGCTCTCCGCTGTAGCGCAGTTCTGCAGGAGTCTTAAAGGAGAGGTCCTTCTTCCCTTTGAGCCAGTACGTCTTCATGTAGCCTTTACCCTGTCAATCACACACACGCGCACACACACACACATGCAAACACACACAAACACACAGACACACACACACACACACATGCTTTATTAAAGGGATAGTCTGGAACTCTAAATGAACACATTTTATCACACATTGTGTTAAATTGACCTCCTGGCCTTAAATGTTGATATAAAATAAGTCATTTTATGAATTTAACCAATCAACGGATGCCGAGGCTGTCAATCATCACGCTCGTATATAATTCAAATATTAAATATATTTATCACACGCTCCTCACAGCAGCAGTAAAACGCTCCATTGATTTGAATGTAATTTCAAAACGTTCTACCGCTCATTATTTTCTATAACGGACCCTCTCAAAACAATAATGACCACTGCCCTTTGGCTACACGTCGGGGTCCGCTTCGCCCTGTCGGTACTTATTTTCCGATAATGACCTGCGTAATATAGGTTATCCCTTACATATTATATATATTCTAACAAATATTAGACAGCCCTTAATATCCGCACCTGTAATGGGCATTGTCTTTTTTAAATGATATTTATAAAATAGTTAGTTCCCAAAGGTTTCGCCGTGACGTGACCATGTGCTGGACGGGTAACAGCTAACAGCTAGGCTAGCAACAGTTAGGCTAGCTAAATAACTGGAACTCTCCGGAACTACATGAAAAGTGAACAAAGAATTCTGACCATCAGCGGTGAGTGACACAAAAATAAACTCAACCTAAATCCATCAGATCCTCTGCAAATGTTCTAAAATGTTCTCCTAATGTTGTTACTTCCAGGTTCGCTTACGGTTACTTCTGGATCGTTTAAAAAAAACAAAAACGTGAACAGATCATTGTGAAAATCTCTGTGCACGTTTGTTAAGAATGTATATGTATAATGTATTCTCCCATTAATATTTAAATGTGTTATTGATATTTGTGTTATTGAGCGTGGCTAGCTACGATAGCTCCTCTGCTCAGACAGAGATAACAAGTGACAGGCGCTGAAAGCCCGTTGTGACGAAGTGTACGGACTACTGTCCAGAGTAATCTGAGTATTTTACACACAGAGTGCGTTGCTAAAGGGCAGCGCCGTTGTTGGTTTAGGAATTTACTGCTGCAAACAGTGACGGCAGGCAAGATGGCGGTGACTTCACACTAGCTCGCAGTAGTTAGCGCAGTAAATAGCCAATCAAACTAAAATGGTTGATTCTTGTTGTGCACCCGGATGCACAAATCGGCGAGGAAAAGCGTACATTTCTCATGCTGTGTGTATATATTTAGCTCTGGTTGCAGAAGTCGTTGATTCAGACAAACTCTGTTTTTTCAGCTTTTGGGAGTTGTTAAACACAAGTCATTTCTCCGCATGTCCTAAACCTTCTTCACAGATGTCTCACTCCGTCTGTCCCATCTGCACTTTTTGGATGTTACAGAGGATTCTTCCTTTTTTCCCCTTTCTTGATTGTGCTGCCACAAGGTAAACAAAACAGCGGCTACATGGGAACAACACTCTGTACAATTACAGTGGGCTCCTAGCCCTGCACCGTCACATCTGACGACTGCCCATGGCTTCAGTGAAGGGCTACTGAGACTTGAATGATTTACCCGTGACAACATTTACAGTAGCTGTTGGAGCTGTTGACTTTTGTATTAGCTTAGCGCAGAAACGGGTGGTTAGCATGCAAACGTTTACAGCGCACTGTGTGCACTTACTCTTCCAGTCACCACAAAACAGCTTTTTGTTGGCAAATGCCAAAGCTGGACATTGGTTTGTGTCCATTTATATCCGTCCAGACTTTTAGCCTTAAGAGAATCCCCCGTGTAAAAAGATGGGAAATCCATTGGGTCATTGTATAAATGTGGGTATTGCAGATTTGGTGGACTCTCAACACAATCTAGGCCTTTAAAAACAAGCCGGGAGCAAAGTAAGTAACTGGTTTATATATATATAATATATAAATATACTTTATCAATGTCATTAAAGTAGCAGTATGTAATATTTACATGTCAAGTCATCATTAAATGGCCCCATATTTCAAAAGGCGTTATTAAATAATGCTCTTTTCGAATACATCTTTAACTGAAAACAGTAGATCAGATATTTGATTATCAAAATTACTTTTACGACCCGTAAAAGTTGTTATTGTTTTGATTTTGATGTCCTGCCCTCCGCCGTTTCGCCAATCAGGAAGTGTCATGTAAGTCCGTGATCGGGCTGCCAGAGCTCCGCGCGGCTCATTAATCTCAGTGGTAAAATAACATGAGGCGCAGAACTAAAAAAGGTCTTGTTATGACTCTCAAATCATTAATGACAAAACAAAGACTAAAACGAGGAGTTATGTCGGGACGCCTTTGAACAATTGAGACAGCTGATAGAAGTTTACGTGTGATGCAAAATCTGCTGGTTTGAGTCCGTTCTTTAGAGATAATTTTATCGTGCGAATCGGTGATCTGGTGGTTAAAACCTTGCGCTCAAGATGCAGTAACCTGGGTTCGTTTCCAGGCAGGACATTTTTGCATTTAATTGCATGTTATCACATCCTATGACAGATTGCTCTAAAAACGGTAAAAGACGAAGGTCAAGAAGTTTTTTTTGCAGATTATAGCTTAATTGTAAAAAGAATCATTTGAGACGACATGTACCCGATAGAAATAATGTTATTCTCTTTTTGATGTGGGACTTATACATGTTTGAAGAAATACCTTCCAACATCCATTCTTCCCACTCCTATTTTGGACATCAGTTGCTTATTTATTTTGGATAATCTATAATTACATTGCTTTTATTTTGTTTTGTGTTTTTTATCTCAAATGTCCAAATAAAAATACAAAATTAAACATTCATTCAACATTAGCACGGCTATCATGACAACGTGAATGGAGACAGACAAACAACTGATAAAATAATTCCTTGTGTTTGCTGCTGGATTTGGTGAGTATCTGGCAACCTGAGTCAGGGAGAGTGGGAGAGGACTACCAAATATTGACTGTGACTGCAGTACCACTTTTGGCCAGATTTTTACATATTGTTCCTTTAAATGACGCTGTAGACTCCGAAAGTAACAATTTTCCTCCGCTGTTCATTGTTTTTCACTTTGCGCCGATGTTTGCGCCTTCCGTCATGGCGTCGTCAACAACTTTGGTCACGTGGGGTCCAGAGCTCTATATTACACTTTTTGACTTTTCTCTGGTTTAAACATCCTTCACAGTAGTTTTTTCATTGATTCCCTCGTGCTTTAGTTAGAGTGCAATCTTTCTCTTTCATTCTGGAGAGGCGCAGAAACTAATTCATGACGTGGCACAATCTGTGACGTCAAAAGCCCGCCGCCAAGAGATGATTGATAGCTGAAAGAAAGTGAACCGGCGAATCAGAGCCGTCTATGGTCAGCTGCAGCCTCTCTCTGAGTCCGGCGTGTGGTCCATAGACTGTAAATACAGTCACACAGTCCAGTCTGTACGATCAGAGCTGACATCACTCATGCACGAAATTCAGGAAACTTGTTTTATAAAATGTGCTATATAAATGAAGTGGATTGGATTGAAATGGCTTTAGTTTGATAGTGTTTTATGGAGTGTTTTATAATTATCACCCAAATTATTATCACCCAAGTGCTTATGGACTCTGAAAAAATGAAGTAAAGAAAAATATGGCACCTTTAAGTTAAAATATGTATCTTAATTCTGACTGCCTTAAACCAATATTTTACAATGGGACAAAACAAAATGAAAATGATATTATTGATCACAAAGGGCTTTCGTCAAACAAACTTCATCTTGTTGTAAAAAGATACAGAAATGTCTCTCTTGGAATTAGAATAAAATGCAACAGAAATAAGACTAAATAGTTTTGTCCCATTGATAGATCTTGTTTTACCACAGTCAGAATTTTGGGTTTCATCTGACGTCAGGGCAGTGGTGCGAATAACAAACGTGGTACAGGACGTGACGTATCCTGGGGGTGCAGTCTGCCGGGTTTATACACGGAGATATAGTAGAAGAAGAAGTGGTTTATACACGGAGATATAGTAGAAGAAGAAGAGGTTTATACACGGAGATATAGTAGAAGAAGAAGCGCTGTCAAAACACCATCTTTTTGTGCGGTGTACGCTTGTAGCGACCGCACAAATAGAGAGAAAGACAAGAGTTTGTTCATGTTCCAACTGTGGTCTCATATAAAGGAGGACACTTTGGAAAAATCACTGGAATGAGGCGGGCGAGGTGGATCAAGGCTTTCCCAGATAAGCGCCCCCTGCAGGCCACCCCAATGAAACAGCTATTTCTACTGGTTTTTTTTTTCAAAAATGCCCTTTGACTCCAAAACAGACTTTACATGGTTTTCAATGGGAACAAAACTGAGTTGTCCCATCTCTGCTCATGCGCCCCCTACTGGCCAGTTTAATGAAACCCAAGAATGTGTCAGATTAAGATTAAAAACACTACATTTAAGCCAATATTAACGGTTTATTAGCCGAGGGCGAGGTCTGTATGGAGAAATATCTCCATTCACGGCTCGGTCTGTACATTAAGGCCGCGGTCTGATATTTCTCTGCACAGACCGAGCAAGCGAGGTTAATAAACGTTTTATTATATGACTCTCGTCTGTGTCTTTACCAATGCTTTTGAGGTATTTGTGAAGTATGTTCATGTCCGACTTGGTTTTGTGTGATACGCGCTGTGGACCGATTGTCATGGTAACGGTCCGTGGAAAGATAACAAATGTGATACGTGCTGTTCGGACCAATTGTCATGGTAACGGTCCGAGATGGGAAAATATCAGACCGGTAATCAACCAATCAGAGCGCGCGTACGGTACAAGTCATATAATATTATCTCATATTTTCAGACTTTTTTCAGATTCTCACCTTGACAAATATCTTGCCTCTCTCCTCGATGATGTAGGGCTCGTGTTCCAGGTGGTCTTTGGTGGTCTGGCTGATGTGGATCTGCATGCCCTACTCACACACACACATACATACACGCACACACACACACACACATACATACAAGCACAAACACACACACACACATATACACACACACATAAACACAAACACACATACACATCAACACAAACACACATACAAGCACAAACACCCACACACACACACATACAAGCACAAACACCCACACAGAAACACACGTACACACAAATACACACACACATAAACACAAACACACACACACACACACACAGGATATAATCCACAAAGAGGCAGAATTTCATAAAAACTCCACAAACGTAATTAGCTGCAACCGGACTCTGAACACAACATTACGCTTCTATTACTGTTGTGAAAGATAATTGAGATTAGGACTCGCTCTGAACACAAATAAAGACTTATTCTGTGTCAAAGTGGTCTGATTCTGATTCTGTATCTGAACTGTGGCAATCATCTAAATAATGTCAGCAAATAGAACTACATTTAGACTTGCTTCTTTATTAGACTAAAGTTAGAGATTATAGACGTGCTTCTTTATTTTGCTTAAGATAGAGATTTTAGACCATGGATCTATTATAATAACTGGATAGGGTATTTCTATCTTATAACTGTCCCACCTATGGCCACAGGGGGTGCTGTGGTACTGCAGTCTAACTTCACGTTACCCAGAAAAAGTCCCATAGAACTCAATGTAAACTAAACCAGCTCAAACTCACCTGACAGAGAACCTGACAGAGAACCTACAGCTTTCATAAAGGTCAGATTTTGTGGGGATTTTAGTATTCATTGTGTGCAATTGACGCACTAATACGTCAATTGCGTTTTCCGCTAGTTTCATGTTCCTATTATATCTAATATGTTTGTGGATTAGCTTTAGACCATATTTTATTGAGCGCTTGGATGGTTTGAAAACAGGATGCACTTTTTGTGCCTCTTTTTTCTCAGCTGTTTGGTCGGAAGGAAACCAGCAAAATTCTTTTTGCTGATGAAAGTAGATCCATTCTTTCAGATAGTCATGGTGCACAATATTCACTGTGTCTTGAAAAATCAATAAAAATCAGAAGCTGCTGGCAATATGGGAGTACCTGTTCTGAAATAGGCTGGCAGGCAATGAGTTAAATCCTTCAGTTTTCTTTAAATCCACACTTTACTCTCACAAACTCTCCCTTCCCTTCCCGCTCTGACTCCGCTGTTCTGATGATCAGCTCTGATTGGTCAGAGCGCGGGCGAGCCCCTCTGTGCACGTGCATGAGAGCCACACACGCGTTTTTAGCACAAAGCATCATGCGAGCTCGTCCACTGCACAGAACCGGGAGGACCAGACGATGACCAAATATGGGCGAGTTCCTCTGATATGTCAGCGCCGGTGACGCCCCATGCGCTACTGAGCACAAACCAATCGTTTGAATAGGGCGCCATCTTGAATCAGTGGAGCTTGTTTTATTCTAGCTTCTTTATTATGCTAAAGCTAAGTATTTCATACATCCATGTTTGTGGGACCAATAAAGAATCTCTTCATCTTTAATCTTAATCCTAATCTCACCACTCCGTTGCTCTCCATCCTTGAGGCCGTGTTGACTGTGTCTCCGAACAGACAGTAACGAGGCATCTTCAGTCCGACCACTCCGGCCACCACCATCCCAGAGTGGATCCCTGACAGAGCACAACAGGAGAGGAATGTGTGGGATTAGATTAGATTAGATTAGATTATTTGCCATTTGAAGTAAAACCACATTGGAATACATGTGCAAGAGTCCCCAGTGTGCAGTAGACACGTACACACTGCAACAAGTGATGGAAAATGTATCTTAATGAAACACATTCTGACTGAGCCTCAGTAGAAGAAGAATGCAATTATTACCTCATTCTGTGAGTGAGGTGTAGGGTCAGAGAGTGTTTGGGACCTGTCTGTCATGGTGTGGACTTTTCCCTGTTTCAGTGTGACTTCCTGTTCCCCTGTCGATTGTCTGCCCCGCCCTGATGTGTTTCACCTGTGTCTGTGTCTACCTGTGCTCCTTGTACCTGTGCTCCTCTCCCCTTGTTGCATCAAGTTCTGTCCTGTTCCTTTGGATTTTTGAGTTTTGAGATTTGTTTTCACATTGGACTTTATTTTATTAAATCATTATTTTTCCATTCCTGCGTTTGGGTCCTACTTCATCTCACGCCACGTGTCTGATTTCTGCTCAGATAATAATACATAAAGCACATAGGAATAATAAGTAGAAAAATGTATCTGCTCTCTCTCTGGTCTCTCTCTGATCACTCTCTCTGGTCTCTCTCTGATCACTCTCTCTGGTCTCTCTCTGGTCTCTCTCTCTGGTCTCTGTCTCTTTGGTCTCTGTCTCTCTCTCTGGTCTCGCTCTCTCTGGTCTCTCTCTCTGGTCTCTCTCTCTCTGGTCTCTCTTGTCTCTCTGGTCTCTCTATTTGGTCTCTCTTTCTGGTCTCTCTGGTCTCTTTCACTGGTCTGTGTCTCTCTGATCTCTCTCTGGACATGGGTCTGAACATAAGTCTGGTGGATCCCTCTGGACCTTAGCTTAGACCGGGCTCTAAGATCAGCTTCACAGCAGCGCCTTCAGAACCGTCTGGCTTTAGGTCCTGATCCATGCTCTCCGAACGCTTTATCGCTTCGCTCTCCGGCTCCGAGGCCAGAGTCGCTGATGTAATCTACTCCTTCTGCTCCACGTGAGAAGGGAAACGATCCAAAACCTCTTCAGCGGACCATAAAACATACAAGGTCCGAGTCGTGTGTGTGAGTTAAGCCTGACGGTTCAGAGACGGTTCTTTGTCGGAGGCTCAGACGACTGTGTCTGAAGGATCTGAGGTTTGTTTAGTTTGTGTCACAGGAAGAGAATGTGAAATATCATGAAACGTAGAGAAGTGAAGTCAGAGGGTCCTCACTCTAGAGTCTGATTACTGTTCAGATAATTATACATCAAGGACATAGGACAAATAAGTAGAAATATGTCTCTGTCTTATGGTCTCTCTTTGGTCTATCTCTGGTCTCTCTCTGGTTTCTCTCTGGTCTCTGTATGGTCTTTTTCTGGTCTCACTCTAATCTATCTCTTCTCTCTTTCTGGTCTCTCTCAGGTCTCTCTCTGGTCTCTCTCAGGTCTCTCTCTGGTGTCTATCTCTGGACTCTCTATGGTCTTTCTCTGGTCTCACTCTGGTCTCTCCCTCTGGCCTCTCCCTGGTATCTCTCTGGTCTCTCTCTTTATGGCACTTTACAGCCACAGCCGCCCCACTGTGGCACCTGGTGTTCCCAGAGGTCTTCAATCACAGCACTAACCAAACCCTGCCCTGCTTAGCTTCAGAGGTCTGACGGGATCTGGCTTACACCTGCAGGGGGCGCCACATACATAAACACATTTATCTACATCAACAGGGTCGATACACAAATATGTTAACTTGGTCTAATTTGTTCAACATTTACAAAACACATTCATGAAACATTGCAGAAAAGTCAGGTCCCTGAGCTTTAAGGTCTGGGGAGTACTGTTAAGAAGAAGTCAGGTCCAGAGAAAGACCAGCAAGAGACCAGAGAGAGAGACCACAGAGGGGCCAGAGAAAGACCATAGAGAGTCCAGAGAGGGACCATAGAGAGAGACCACAGAGGGACCAGAGAAAGACCATAGAGAGTCCAGAGAGGGACCATAGAGAGTCCAGAGAGGGATTAGAGAGAGCCCAAAGAGCGAGACCAGTGAGGGACTAGAGAAGACCAGCGAGATAAGTCAGGTCCCCCAGCTTTATGGTCTATAGGGCAGTACTGTTCTGAAGCTTTAGGGTCTAGGGCAGTACTGTTCTGAACCGTTAGGGTCTAGGGCAGTACTGTTCTGGAACTTTAGGGTCTAGGGCAGTACTGTTCTGGAGCTTTAGGGTCTAGGGCAGTACTGTTCTGGAGCTTTAGGGTCTAGGGCAGGACTGTTCTGAAGCTTTAGGGTCTAGGGCAGTACTGCTCTGGAGCTTTAGGGTCTAGGGCAGTACTCTTCTGGAGCTTTAGGGTCTAGGGCAGTACTGTTCTGGAGCTTTAGGGTCTAGGGCAGAACTGTTCTGAAGCTTTAGGGTCTAGGGCAGTACTGTTCTGAAGCTTTAGGGGTCTAGCTTTGGTCTAGGCAGTACTGTTCTGAAGCTTTAGGGTCTAAGGCAGAACTGTTCTGAAGCTTTAGGGTCTAGGGCAGTACTGCTCTGGAGCTTTAGGGTCTAGGGCAGTACTGTTCTGGAGCTTTAGGGTCTAGGGCAGTACTGTTCTGGAGCTTTAGGGTCTAGGGCAGTACTGTTCTGGAGCTTTAGGGTCTAGGGCAGTACTGTTCTGAAGCTTTAGGGTCTAGGGCAGTACTGTTCTGGAGCTTTAGGGTCTAGGGCAGGACTGTTCTGGCGCTGTAGGGTCCGTACCGACTCGGATCTGGATGTTGTCGCCGGTGGACGGGTCTTTGAGGTGATCGATGGAGCTCAACATGTCCAGAGCCATGTCACAGATGTGGTGAGCGTGGAACGTCGTCTTATTGGGAACACCAGCAACAACCATGTAGGCGTCACGGATCGTCTCCACCTGGTGCGGGGACAGAGACGGGAGAGGTCAGGGAGGAGAGAGGGCAGAGGTTAGGGGAGGGAGAGAAGAGAAAGAGGGCAGAAGTTAGGGGAGATGAGAGAGAGAGGGCAGAGGTCAGGGAGAGAGAGAGGGAAGAGGAGAGAGAAGGGAGAGAGACAGAGAGAACAGGGAGACTTGAAAAAGACCAGAGAGAGACCAGAGAGAGACCAGAGAGAGACCAGAGAGAGACCAGTGAAAGAGCAGAGAGAGAGAGAGCAGTAGTAGATAAATATAGGTCTGAATGATTCTGACGTCCGGACCGTTATTTTTGTGCAAATTTTCAGGACAAATTAAATCAGTTGCAATGACCTCACATAGTCATAGCCACCACAGACTGGACCGAGGGACTGGTTTGAGGACCACAGACTGGACCGAGGGACTGGTTTGAGGACCACAGACTGGACCGAGGGACTGATTTGAGGACCACAGACTGGACCGGGGGACTGGTTTGAGGGACTGGTCTGAGGACTACAGACTGGACCGAGGGACTGGTTTGAGGACCACAGACTGGACCGAGGGACTGGTTTGAGGGACTGGTTTGAGGACCACAGACTGGACCGAGGGACTGGTTTGAGGACCACAGACTGGACCAAGGGACTGGTTTGAGGACCACAGACTGGACCGAGGGACTGGTTTGAGGACCACAGACTGGACCGAGGGACTGGTTTGAGGGACTGGTCTGAGGACTACAGACTGGACCGAGGGACTGGTTTGAGGACCACAGACTGGACCGAGGGACTGGTTTGAGGGACTGGTTTGAGGACCACAGACTGGACCGAGGACTGGTTTGAGGACCACAGACTGGACCAGGGACTGGTTTGAGGACCACAGACTGGACCAAGGGACTGGTTTGAGGACCACAGACTGGAACCGAGGGACTGGTTTGGGGACACACAGACTGGATCCGAGGACTGGTTTAGGACCGACAGAAGCTGGACCGAAGGGACTGATTTGAGGACCACAGATCTGGACCGGGGACAGGTTTGAGGGGACTGGTCTGGGGAGGACTACAGACTGGACCGAGGGGACGGTTTTTTGAGGGACCACAGACTGGACCGAGGGGAACTGGGTGGAGGGACTGGTTTGAGGACCCACAGCGACCTGGGATCCGAGGGGGGGACTGGTTATTTGTTTTTTTGGAGGACCAGAGACTGGACCAAGGGACCTGGTTGGAGGACCACAGACTGGACAGGGACTGGTTGGAGACAAGACGGTACCGGGGGTATGATGGACCACAGACGGGACGGAGACTGGTGTGAGACAAGGAACTGGTCCGAGGGACGAGTTGAGGACCACAGACTGGACGGGGGACTGGTTTGAGGGAGATGGTCTGAGGACTACGACTGGACGATGGGATGGTTGAGGACCACAGAATGGGACCGAGGGACTGGGTTGAGGGACTGGTTTGAGGACTACAGACTGGACGAGGACTGGTTGAGACCAGACTGACCAAGGGACTGGTTTGAGGACCACAGACTGGACCAAGGACTGGTTTGGACCACAGACTGGATCCGAGGACTGGTTTGAGGACCACCAGATGGACCGAGGACTGGTTTGAGGACCACAGACTGGACCCGAGGGACTGATTTGAGGCACACAGACTGACCGAGGGACGGTTTGAGGACTGGTCTGAGGACTACAGACTGGACCGAGGGACTGGTTTGAGGACCACAGACTGGACCGAGGGACTGGTTTGAGGGACTGGTTTGGGTTTGAGGACGGCCACAGGGACTGTTGAGGCCACAGGACTGACCAGGGACTGTTTTGAGGACCACAGACTGGACCGAGGGACTGGTTTGAGGACCACAGATGACGGACCAGGGACTGGTTTGAGGACCACAGACTGGGACCGAGGGACTGTTTGAGGACTGGTTTGAGGACCACAGACTGGACCCAAGGGACTGGTTTGAGGACCACAGACTGGACCGAGGGACTGTGTGGAGGACCCACAGACTGGACCAAGGACTGGTTTGAGACCACAGACTGACCGAGGGACTGTTTGAGGACCACAGACTGGACCGAGGGGGACTGGTTTGAGGACTACAGACGGACCGCGGGACTGGTTTGAGACCACAGACTGGACTGGCGATGGGAACTGGTTTGAGGACCACAGACTGGACGGAGGGACGGTTGTGAGGACCACAGACATGGACCAAGAGGGACTGGTTTGAGGGACTGGTCTGAGGACTACAGACTGGACGAGGTGACTGGTTTGAGCCACAGACAGTGCCGAGGGACGGGTTTGAGGGCGGATTAGGAACACAGACGGGACGTGAGGGACTGGTTTGAGGACCAGCGGACAGCTTTGAGCCTGAGGTGACGGTTTGAGGCCCCGACTGACCAAGGGACTGGCGTTGAGGACCACTGACCAGACTGAGGACCCGATGGACTGCGGATGTTTGAGCCACAACTGACGAGGGACTGGTTTGAGTATGTTGAATAAGACGACCGGGGACTGGTATGGGGACCACAGACGGGCCGGGATGGTTGAGGGCTGATTTGAGACCACAGACGGGACCGAGGGATGGTGTTGAGGACCCACGACTGGACCGAGGGACTGGTTTGAGGACTACAGACGGACCGAGGGACTGGTTTAGGACCACAGACGGGACCGAGGGACTGGTTTGAGGACCACAGACGGACCGAGGGACTGGTTTGAGACCACAGACTGGGACCAAGGGACTGGTTTGAGGACCACAGACTGGACCGAGGGACTGGTTTGAGGGACTAGTCTGAGAACTACAGACTGGACCGAGGGACTGTTTGAGGACCACAGACTGGACCGAGGGACTGGTTTGAGGACCACAGACTGGACAAGGGACTGGGTTTGAGGACCACAGGACTGGGACCGAGGGACTGGTTTGAGGTACCACAGACTGGACCGAGGGACTGGTTTGAGACTACTGACTGGACCGAGGACTGGTTTGAGGACCATAGACTGGACCGAGGGACTGGTTTGAGACCATCAGACTGGACCGAGGGACGGTTTGAGGACTGGTCTGAACTACAGACTGGACCGAGGGACTGGTTTGAGGTCTGGTTTGAGGACCACAGACTGGACCAAGAACTGGTTTGAGACCACAGACTGGACCAAGGACTGGTTTGAGGACCACAGACTGATCCGAGGGACTGGTTTGAGGGACGTGGTTGAGACTACAGACTGGACCGAGGGACTGGTTTGAGGACCACAGACTGGACCGAGGACCTGGTTTGAGGGACTGGTCGTCTGAGGACTACAGGACTGGACCGAGGGACTGGTTTGAGGACCACAGACTGGAACGAGGACTGGTTTGAGGGACTGGTTTGTGACCACAGACTGGACCGAAGGAACTGGTTTTGAGGGACTGGTTTTGAGGACTACAGACTGGACCAAGGGACTGGTTTGAGGACCACAGACTGGACCCAAGGGACTGGTTTGAGGACCACAGACTGGACCGAGAGAGCTGGTTTGAGGACTACAGACTGGACGCGGACTGGTTTTGAGGACCACAGACTGGACTGCGGAGGGACTGGTTTGAGGACCACAGGACTGACTGAGGACTGGTTTTGAGGACCACAGACTGACCGAGGGACTGGGTTGAGGACTGGTCTGAGGACTACAGACTGGACCGAGGGACTGGTTTGAGGACCACAGACTGGACCGAGGGACTGGTTTGAGGACCACAGACTGGACCAAGGGATCGGTTTGTAGGACCACAGACCTGGACTGAGGGCTGGTTTGAGGACCACAGACTGGACGAGGGACTGGTTTGAGGGACTGGTCTGAGGGACTACAGACTGGACCGAGGGACTGGGTTTGAGGACCACAGACTGGGCCGAGGGCTGGTTTGAGGGACTGATTTGGGACCACAAGACTGGACCGAGGGAATGTTTGAGGACCACAGACTGGACCGAGGGACTGGTTTGAGGACTACAGATTGGACCGAGGGACTGGTTTGAGGACCACAGACGGACACGGGACGGTTTGAGGACCAACAACTGGACCGAGGAACTGGTTTGAGGACCACAGACGGGGACAAGGGACCTGGTTTGAGGACCACAGACTGGACCGAGGACTGGTTTGGAGGGGGATAGTCTGAGAACTACAGACTGGACCGATGGACTGGTTTTGAGGACCACAGACTGGACCCGAGGGACTGGTTTGAGGACCACAGACTGGACAGAGGGATGGTTTGAGGACCACAGACTGGACCGAGGGACGGGTTTGAGGACCACAGACTGGACCGAGGGACTGTTTGAGGACTACTGACTGACCGAGGGACTGGTTTGAGGACCATAGACTGGACCGAGGACTGGTTGAGGACCCCAGACTGGACCGAGGACTGGTTTGAGGGACTGGTCTGAGGACTACAGACTGGACCGAGGACTGGTTTGAGGTCTGGTTTGAGGACCACAGACTGGACCAGGGACTGGTTTTGAGGACCACAGACTGGACCAAGGGCCTGGTTTGAGGACACAGACTGGATCCGAGGACTGGTTTGAGGACTGGTCTGAGGACTACAGACTGACCGAGGACTGGGTTTGAGGACCACAGACTGGACCGAGGGACTGGTTTGAGGACTGGTCTGAGGACTACAGACTGGACCGAGGGACTGGTTTGAGGGACTAGTCGGAGAACTACAGACTGGACCGAGGGACTGTTTGAGGACCACAGACTGGACCGAGGGACTGGTTTGAGGACCACAGACTGGACAGAGGACGGGTTTGAGGACACAGACTGGACCGAGGGACTGGTTTGAGGACCACAGACTGACCGAGGGACTGGTTTTGGGACTACTGACTGGACCGAGTGTGGTTTGAGGACCATAGACTGGACCGATGGACTGGTTTGCGACCACAGACTGGACCGAGGACTGTTTGAGGGACTGGTCTGAGGCTACAGACTGGACCGAGGACTGGTTTTGAGGGTCTGGTTTGAGGACCACAGACTGGACCAAGGACTGGTTTGAGACCACAGACTGGACCAAGGGACTGGTTTTGAGGACCACAGACTGGACCGAGGGACTGGTTTGAGGGACTGGTCTGAGACTACAGACTGGACCGAGGGACTGGTTTGAGGACCACAGACTGACCGAGGGACTGGTTTGAGGGACTGGGTCTGAGGACTACAGACTGGACCGAGGACTGGTTTGAGGACCACAGACCGGACCGAGGGGACTGGTTTGAGGACTGGTTTGAGACCACAGACGGACCGAAGGACTGGTTTGAGGGACTGGTTTGAGGACTACAGACTGGACCAAGGGACTGGTTTGAGGACCACAGACTGGACCAAGGGACTGGTTTGAGGACCACAGACTGGACCGAGAGACTGGTTTGAGGACTACAGACTGGACCGAGGGACTGGTTTGAGGACCACAGACTGGACCGAGGGACTGGTTTGAGGACCACAGACTGGACTGAGGGACTGGTTTGAGGACCACAGACTGGACCGAGGGACTGGTTTGAGGGACTGGTCTGAGGACTACAGACTGGACCGAGGGACTGGTTTGAGGACCACAGACTGGACCGAGGGACTGGTTTGAGGACCACAGACTGGACAGAGGGACTGGTTTGAGGGACTGGTTTTAGGACCACAGACTGGACCAAGGGTCTGGTTTGAGGACCACAGACTGGACCAAGGGATGGTTTGAGGACACAGACTGGACCGAGGGACTGGTTTGAGGACCACGGACTGGACCGAGGGACTGTTTGAGGACCACAGACTGGACCGAGGGACTGGTTTGAGGACCACAGACTGGACCGAGGGACTGGTTTGAGGACACAGACTGGACCGAGGGACTGGTTTGAGGACCACAGACTGGACCAAGGGACTGTTTGAGGACCACAGACTGGACCGAGGGTACTGGTTTGAGGGACTGGTCTGAGAACTACAGACTGGACCGAGGGACTGGTTTGAGGACCACAGACTGACAGAGGGACTGGTTTGAGGACCACAGACTGACCGAGGGACTGTATTGAGACCACAGACTGGAGCGAGGGACTGGTTTGAGACCACAGACTGGACCGAGGGACTGGGTTGAGGACCACAGACTGGACCGAGGACTGGTTTGAGGCACTGGTTTTGGACCACAGACTGGACCGAGGGACTGGTTTGAGGACCACAGACTGACCAAGGACTGGTTTGAGACCACAGACTGGACCGAGGGACTGGTTTGAGGACCACAGACTGGACCAAGGAACTGGTTTGAGGACCACAGACTGGACCAAGGGACTGGTTTGAGGACCACAGACTGGACCGAGGGACTGGTTTGAGGACCACAGACTGGACCTCTGGGACTGGTTTGAGGGACTGGTCTGAGGACTACAGTCTGGACCGAGGGACTGGTTTGAGGACCACAGACTGGACCGAGGGAATGGTTCAGTGAGTTTTGCAGCCTGAGAATCTGATGTTTCGTGTGAATGTGAAGTGAAAAAACAGACTGATTCCGAACAGGCCAAATACTAATTAAACAGTACTTCAAAATACCATTAGCACTATTACCATGTGCGTGTTGGAAAACCTGCATATACTGCTCCGAACAGAACACTACAAACTTTAAATGTCCATTAAAACACTCACATTTTTATTAGACCATTTTTAGCCTTGAGAAAAAGATTTATTGTATTCATTTGTATCTAATCTGCGGAGCTTATGACCAGCCTGCGGTCAGAATCAATGAATGTGTTTAAGGAGCCGCCACGGAGGAATGTAGAGATGGATATTATTTTTTTCTATCTATGAGGCCTTTCTCAATCTGATACCATCAAGTATTTAACAGCCTGGGAGCCTCTTTAGTCCTGCACCACACAGTCCTCAGCCCTCGATCTACAGCCTGAGTCCTGGGTCTACAGCCTAAGTCCTGGGTCTACAGCCTGAGTCCTGGGTCTACAGCCTCAGTCCTGAGTCTACAGCCTGAGGCCTGGGTCTACAGCCTGAGTCTACAGCCTGAGTCCTGGGTCTACAGCCTGAGTCTACAGCCTGAGTCCTGAGTCTACAGCCTCAGTCCTGGGTCTACAGCCTCAGTCCTGGGTCTACAGCCTGAGTCCTGAGTCTATAGCCTGTCTGTATGTGGGAGCGGATTCTGGTCTCTCTCCAGTCTCTTTCTTGTCTCTCTCTTTCTTTGGTCTCCCTCTTTGGTCTAATACTGGCCTCTCTCTCTGGTCTCTCTCTGTTCTCTCTCTCTGGTCTCTCTCTCTGGTTTCTCTCTGGCCTCTCTCTCTGGCCTCTCTCTGGTCTCTCTCTAGCTTCTCATGGTCTCTCTCTGGTCTCTCTCTGGTCTCTCTCTGGCCTCTCTCTGGTCTCTCTCTCTGGTCTCTCTCTGGCCTCTCTCTCTGGTCTCTCTCTCTGGTTTCTCTCTGGTCTCTCTCTGGTCTCTCTCTCTGGTCTCCCTATCTCTGGTCTCTCTTCTGCCTCTTTCTGGTCTCTCTCTCTCTCTCTCTTGTCTCTCTCTCCTCTCTTTAGTCTCTCACCAGGGACCACCGTACACACAAACACTGTCTCCTGACATTAAAGTATAAATATGTATAAAACTGTCTTCTGCTGCTGCTGCATATCACAATTCAAACCCATAAAACCATCTTTACACATCACCCTTTTTACACACCATTTTATTCCCTGTCGTTTTTATTCATCGCCGCAATTGTATCCATCCCATGCTCCATTACCGCCGCTCTACGCCTGTACTCTGGTCTCTGTGGGGACCGTTATGAGCTGTGTGTCGTTCTGGCCGGGTCATAAATCCGTGTGTGTGTGTGTGTGTGTGCGTGTGTGTGTGTGTGTGCGCGCGTGTGTGTACGTGTGTGTGTGTGTGTGCGCGTGCTGACCTTGTAGACGTTGTGTTTCTCGCTCAGAGTGTCGAACACGATGTAGATCTCGTTGAGCATGTCCACCACCTGCATCGGCGTGATGTGGATGCAGATCTCGTTAAACTTCACCACGTCGCTGAACAGGATGGTCACGTCTGGGAACACCTGAGGGAGGAGAGGGGGGAGAGAGGGGGAGAGAGGGGGGGAGGGAGGGGGAAGAGAGTGAAAGAGAGAGAGTGTGAGGGGTGAGAGAAAGAGATGGGGGGAGAGAGAGGGGAGAGAGGATGAAGGGGGGAGAGAATGAGAGAGAGAGAGGAGAGAGGGGGGAGAGGGTGAGGGGCGGAAAGAGAGAAAGAGATGGGGGAAAGAGGGGAGTGAGAGAGAGAGAGGAAAGAGTGAGAGGGAGAATGACAGTGAGAGAGAGAGTGAGATGGGAAAGAGGAAAGAGAGATAGTGAGAGAGAATGAGATAGATAGAGAGAGAGGAGAGAGAGAGAGTGAGAAAAGGAGAGAGGGGGAGAGAGAGCAAAAGAGAGGGGGGGAGGGAGAGACAGAGAGAGGGGAGATAGGTGAGTGTGTGTGATGAGAGAGAGGAGGAGAGAGAGAGAGCCAGACAGGACCACCAAAGCCTCCATACGTCAGAGGAAAACCTTACCGAGCTTCCTCCTTGGAACAGACCAGAGCTTGGATGATCTGGTTTGACAAGATTCACGGCTCTGCACATAAAAGAGTAAATACAATTATCCGATGGCGACCAACCACCACGAACCTCGCACCACAATTTACAAACATTTCAACTAGGCGCTACAAAACCTGGGCACTTTCAACAAAAGAAATCCTCAGAAGAGTACATTTGTGAGCGCACATTTAGACTATTTTCGCATACTCTTTTTCATATATCTACAACCAGAGCTGTGCAGATACAGGGTTGAGCAAAAAAGCCTTGAAAAGATTAACTTTAAACATCTCTATAGAGCAACATTGTGAAACTTCCGAACGAGTCATATTAGCCTGGAGCCATACAAAAAAAGTTTTACACTGCTGTCGATAACATGTCTCTGTGCGTCAGAGAGGCAGAGAGTTATTTAGTGGTCCAAGATACTTTTACCTCCCTCTGTGGGTTGGAGAAATATCACCACATAGAAGGAAATCAGGGAACATAATTTTTAAATCCTTTGGTTTCGAGCAATATCACAGCAAAGAGAGAGGAGAGACATAAGAGAAGAGAGAGGAGCGACGAGAGGTGAGAGGAGGAGAGAAGAAATTGACTTAAAAGTTTAACTATGGCCCAGTTTATTCGGAGACGCTGCTGCAGTAAAACGCTATAGTTGGATCCGGCGTATCTGAGCTGAGTGGGACAGCTCAGATACGCCGCTCAGCAGGGGGCGCTCTTTCACATCTTCTCCGCGTAAGGAAAAGGTGTGAATTCTCTGCTGCTCTGACCCCCACCTCCTGCTGCTCCCCGCACCTACATTTGGACATGCGCAGTAGAACAAACGTAAACAACAATGGCGGCGGGTAAACTAACTAGCTACGTGTGCTTCGAGCGCTACACGGAGGAGGATTCTACTCCTCCGTTCATCCAAACGAAACCGCGCGAAGCTCTAGTTTCTCTGGGCCTCCCTGAGGGTTCTCCTCCCTCAGACCCCCCTCTGACACCCCCTCTGACAGACCCCCTCTGACAGACCCCCCCTGACAGACCCCTCTGACACCCCCTATGACAGACCCCCTCTGAAACCCCCCCTGACAGACCCCTCTGACACCCCCTCTGACAGACCCCCTCTGAAACCCCCCCTGACAGACCCCCTCTGACAGACCCCTCTGAACCCCTCCTGACAGATCCCCCCTGACAGACCCCCTTCTGACACCCCCCCTGACAGAGCCCTGTACCTGGCAGGTCTCCAGAGCAGTGATGCCCTTCCTCAGGCGGTCGGCCACAGCTTTGGGGATCATGGCGTAGAGCAGAGAGTCTCCTCTTTTCTTCTCCTCGTCCAGTTTCTTGATGATCTCCTGCAGCTGTGCGTACTTCTGTTGCTCCTACATCACAAACACATAGACACACACACACACACACACACACACATATAGACACACACACACACACACGCACACATACAGACACACACACAAAGTTTGCAAGTTTACTATTGGTTCTGTGAGTGTTTGGTTCAGCAATATCACAGCCAAAAAAATGAGAGCGAGCAGAGAGAGACAGACTGAGAGAGACAGAGAGACCAGAGAAAGAGAGCAGATATTGACCAGAGAGAGAACCGAGACCAGAGAGAGACTGAGAGACCAGAGAGAGACCAGAGAGACCAGAGAGAGACCAGAATATATATATATATATATATATATATATATTTTTCAAATTAGGAAACTACCAGCTGCAAACATAGTCATTGCGATTGTGAAAACCGTTGATTCAGCTGAGAAATCCCTGATATGAACGGATCTAAAAATAGCTGCAGATTAGTCCCACTATGTCTCCTTTAAGGTTGAGTGTGTGTAATGGGTTTTGGAAGCAGCCGTTTCAGGTGCAGTGGGGCTGGGGCGGCTCTAATCCTCCTAATCTCTGCTGCGCGCCTGAAAACACACTCTTTAACCTTCACCTGATTCACTGTTTTATATCGAGCTGACTCTGGGAACCTTTGTACCTCCATTTGGATTCTATTGTACTGACTCCGTTTAGCTTTAAAGTAGCAATATGTAAGATTTTCAGGTCAGGTCATAATTAAAGGGCCCTAATCCGTCAAAAGGCATTCATAAAACTGCTCTTTTTCAAAACTTCTTTAACTGATAACAGTAGTTCAGAGATATTTGAACTTACAAATAAGTTTTCCAGCCCCTAACTTTTGATATTGTTTTCATTTCGATGTCCCGCCCTCCACCGTTTCACCAATCAGAAAGTCTGTGATCCGGGCGCCAGAACTCACCGCGTGGAGCTAATCTCACTGGTAAAGGTCTCGTTATGATTCTCAAATCATTAACGACAAAACAAGGAATAAAAGCAGGATTTCTATCTTTGTGAAAAAGGTGTTGGTTATAGATTTGTTGTTGACAAAACTCTTGTCTATTCAGCTGTTATGGTCCCAGCTGGATTTGTCTAACCTTGCCTGCAAGCTGAATTCTCGCGGTATTTGTGAGTTCACAAACACTTGATTGATATTGTGGAGAACGCATTAGAGTTCTACACAATCATCAATCTGGCTCTTGCCAGGTTAGGATTTGTCTGCATATCTGGCAACCTGAGTCAGGGAGAGTGGGAGGCTGCAGTACCACTTTTGGCCACATTTTTACAAACTGTTTTGCTAACAGACCAGACTCTCTCAGACAGAGAGAGAGAGAGATGGCTCCAGAGACCAGAGAGAGAAACCAGAGAGTTGACCAATTGAATTGGAGCGGCCTCTATCAGACTCTCTCTCTCTCTGGTCTCTCTCTCTCTAGTCTCTCTCTCCCTTTATGGTCTCTCTCTGGTCTCTCTGGTCTCTCTCTCTGGTCTCTCTCTGTCTGGTCTCTCTCTCTTGTCTCTCTCTGGTCTCTCTCTGGTCTCTCTCTGTCTGGTCTCTCTCTCTTGTCTCTCTCTGGTCTCTCTCTGGTCTCTCTCTCGCTCTGGTCTCTCTCTCTTGTCTCTCTGGTCTCTCTCTGGTCTCTCTGGTCTCTCTCTGGTCTCTCTCTGGTCTCTCTCTCTGGTCTCTCTGGTCTCTCTCTCTGGTCTCTCTCTGTCTGGTCTCTCTCTCTTGTCTCTCTCTGGTCTCTCTCTGTCTGGTCTCTCTCTCTTGTCTCTCTCTGGTCTCTCTCTGGTCTCTCTCTCGCTCTGGTCTCTCTGGTCTCTCTCTGGTCTCTCTCTCTCTCTCTCTCTGGTCTCTCTGGTCTCTCTGTCTCTGGTCTCTCTCTCTGGTCTCTCTCTGGTCTCTCTCTCTCTGGTCTCTCTCTCTCAGACGGAGGTGTTACCTGATCCAGGGCCAGCTGTAGTTCTGCAGACTGTTGGGTTCCTGCCAGGATGAGTTCTCTGCTGGAGTCGTGAAGGTTCAGGTCGTTCACGTAGACGCCCATCTTTATCATGTCCTCCACCGTCTCTATGCTGTGGCAGACACCTTCATCATCATCATCATCATCACCACCTTCATCATCATCTTTATCATGTCCTCCACCGTCTCTATGCTGTGGCAGACACCTTCATCATCATCATCATCATCATCATCATCATCATCATCATCATTATCATCACCACCATCATCATCATCACCTTCATCATCATCATCACCACCATCATCATCATCATCATCATCATCATCATCATCACCACCATCATCATCATAATCATCATCACCTTCATCATCATCATCATCACCATCATCATCATCACCATCATCATCATCACCACCACCACCATCATCATCACCTTCATCATCATCACCACCACCATCATCATCATCACCATCACCATCATCATCATCACCATCTTCATCATCATCATTCATCTTCATCATCATCATCATCATCACCTTCATCATCATCACCACCACCATCATCATCACCATCATCATCATCACCACCACCACCACCATCATCATCATCATCTTCATCATCATCATCGTCACCACCATCATCATCATCTTTATCATGGCCTCCACCGTCTCTATGCTGAAGCACACCTTCATCATCATCATCGTTATCATCATCATCTTCATCATCCTCATCATGATTTTTTTTTATCAGACTCCAGGTCCACAATAAGAAACATAGACAGACACAAAACAAACTAGACTCACAGACAAAAATAACAAATACAGACTTTTATATACACAGCTTATAAAAGTCCAAGGAGAGAGACCAAAGAAAAAGACCAGCGAGAAGGAGCTGTGAGAGAGACCAGCAAGAGACAAGAGAGAGACCAGAGAGAGACCAGGGAGGGAGAGACCAGCGAGAGACCAGAGAGAGAGACCAGAGAGAGACCAGAGAGAGACCAGAGAGAGACCAGAGAGAGAGACCAGAGAGAAAAAACAGAGAGATACCAGAGACTGGAGAGCGAAAACAGCATTCAAACCATGAGTAGTAGTTCAGGCTGTCAAACAGAAACTGGACAAAGATCTGTCTCTGCTTTGCTGGTTTGATGGTTTAATGGTTTGATGTTTGATGGTTTGCTTACATGGGCGTCCCGAGGAAGATGAGCGAGTCCCACTGAGGCACGTACTTCATCTGTCCTTTCAGATGCAGAGGTTTCTTTGGGGGTTCTCTCATGTCCTCGAAGATGGTCTCACTGCACTTCCCTGCCACACACATCATTCAGACTGTACGATGAGGCTGCAGTATGTGGCTATGGACACTAGGAGGCAGTGGGTAGCTCTATAACACCCTATGTGCTGAGAGGGTGTGTGTGTGTGTGCTTCTGTATGTTTGTATGTCTGTGTGTGCTTCTGCATGTATGTGTGTGTGTGTGTGTTTGTGTGTCTGTATATATGTGTGTGTGTGTGTTTTTGTATATGTTTTTGTGTGTGTTTGTATATGCATGTGCGTGTGTGTGTGTGTGCGTCTAAATATATGTGTGTATGTCTGTGTGTGCTTCTGTATATATATGTGTGTATGTGTGCGTCTAAATATATGTGTGTATGTCTGTGTGTGCTTCTGTATATATATGTAGGTCTGTGTGTGCGTCTAAATACAGTATATGCGTCTATGTCTGTGTGTGTGTCTGTATATATGTGTGTGTGTTTTTGTATATACGTATGTGTGTGTCTGTATATACGTATGTGTGTGTCTGTATATATGTGTGTGTGTTTTGTATATGTATTTGTGTGTGTTTGTGTATGCATGTGCGTGTGTGTGTGTCTGTGTTTGTATGCATGTGTGTATTTGTGTATGCGTTTATGTGTGTTTTGACCGTGTCTATGGTACATAACATGAGCTAGAGAACCAGTGGTGAAAAGCTAAGCTAGCTAACCAACGCCATGGTTAATATTGAAGAAACAAGACTAATTCTGAATTTTAAACACGTCACCTTCGAGAACCCATTCTCAGTGATTCCTGTATGTTTGAGTGTTATTTCTATCGTCCAAAAAGCTTTCATTCGTGCAGCAACCCTCCTCCTCGTTTACATTTTGGTTCCTTTTTTTCAGTTCATTCCATGACACAGGGGTTAGCATTGTCCATCTATAGACAGTCTATGGTTCTAACATGGTCATAAGTTTGAAAAATGCACAAGTCTCCTTTAATCCTCCTGTTTTTGTCTTTGCATGAGGACCGTGTCTGACCTGTGACGGTCTGGAACGCCAGCAGCTCGATGTCCTCTCTGCCAGAGTTAGAGACCAAAAAGACCAGAGAAAGACCAGAGAGAGAACAGAGCGAGAGCAGAGAGAGCAGAAAGACCAGAGAGAGACCAGATAGAGGGTACTCCAGCAATATCTTCTAAAGTAATTGCAGGAGTACTTAGGAGCAGAAGCAATTGCATTATAATGGACCATGACTAAGTTCATCATGCGGAGCAATGTGGACACTTTCCTACACATGTTTACAAAGATATATGTGTCATCACACATAGTATTGTCTCGAATATGATTTGTGTGTAGTTTTATAACCTTTATAACCTGACCCACGTGTAAACAGCAGGCTATAAAACAATTCACAGAGACCAGAGAGACACCAGAAAGAGACCAGAAAGAGACCAGTGAGAGACCAGAGAGAGACCAGAGAGAGAGAGAGAGATCAGAGAGAGACCAGAGGGAGACCAGAGAGAGACCAGTGAGAGACCAGGGAGAGACCAGGGAGAGACCTGAGAGGGACCAGAATTTGGTTTGTTGTTTTTCTCCAAATTAGTGACAAATATTCACCCCATGACACATGGGTAAGTATTGTCCAACTATAGACAGTCTACGGTTGTAACATGGTCAAAAGTTTTTTTTTTTTCCTAACAAGTGTCCTTTAATCCTCCTGTTACTGCCTTTGTGAGAGAATCGTGTCTGACCTGTGACGGTCTGGAACGCCAGCAGCTCGATGTCTTCTCCGCCGGAGTTAGCAGGACTGTTGTACGGCGTCAGAGCGCTGTTGTACTCCTGGTCCGAGCCTTTCACTCGCTCCTCTCTCTCCTCCGCAGCTTTGGCCTCTGAGGATCATGGATACACAGGTTTCTCATCTGTTAAAACCTTCTCCACAGAGCGAGAGAGACCAAAGAGAGCGACCGGTAAATCATGTGCTGCTATAGGGGCTAACGCTAGCTCTTCTCCGGTGAAAAACCAAACTGAACCAGAACCAGTCCAGAACTAGTTTCAGATAGAACTACTAACATCAGAGACATTTCAGAACAATAATGATATATAAATACACTGCACATAGAGACAGAAAAGTCACAAGGTTATGAAGACCAAAAGAACCTCTCTCCCTCTCGGCCTTCTCGCTATCCTCTCTCTAGCCTCTCTCTTACTGGTCTCTCTCACTGGTCTCTCTCACTGGTCTCTCGCTATTCCTCTAGTTTCTCTCTGGTCTCTCGCTATCCTTTTTCTGGTCTCTCTCTGGTCTTTCTCGCTGGCTTTTCTCTGGTCTCTCTGGTATCTCTCTGGTCTTTCTCTTTCGTCTCTCTCTCTGGTTTCTCTCGCTGCCCTCTCTAGCTGGCCTCTCTCTCTGGTCTCTCTCTGGCCTCTCTCTGGTCTCTCTCATCTCTCTCTGGCTTCTCTCTTTGGTCTCTATCTGCTCTCTTTCTCTCTCTCTCTGACTAAACAGGTACCTACGTGGTTGTAATTACATGTTCAAACCAGTCTCAGGTACCTCTCTCCTCCTCCCTCTTGGCCTTCTCATTGGCCTTCTCGATGGCCTTCTCGTTGGCCTTCTCGTTGGCCTTTTCGCTGGCCTTTTCGCTGTCGTCTCTCTCCTCTGGCTCCTCCTTGTTCAGTTTGGGGATGTTGACCTTCTGCTTGCTCTCCACCACAGCTTTGGACATCAGCTCGAACACGTTGTTTAGATGGGTGTAGATCTAAAGACCCAAGCGGGCGATGGAATTAAACACTTCTATCCATATGTCACTGACCTACACTTTTACAGAACAAAAACACAAAGTGATAAAGTGATCATGTTTACGAGAAGAAAAAAATAAATCATAATCCAATCCTGGCAGCACATTCTGACACTGATGACCCATGGTACCATTGCACTTGCATTCTGTGATGTTTTTGTGAACAGTGCAGAGAGAGAGACAGATGGGAAGACGGACACACAGGAGCAGGACATAAAGTTTTAGTAGCTAGGATGCATGTTTATTGTCAACATATATTAATGCCACCTCCAGACTTTTCTGTGTTACTTTTAACTCTTATTTGCATACATGGTATCCTTTGCATGCTTGTAAGAAAGATCCCTGTGAGTCACTATTTGACCCTTTGGACTGAGAGATGATTGGCTGAGTCAGGGTGGTTCTCACTTTGTCAATTTAGTGTCTGAAAAAGCATATGTAAGGTTGTGACAGAGGCCAAAGAACCCGAGCATTTGAGAAGTAGTGAAACCAAACCCAATTGAAATGAACCGATCCTGCTTGGTTGGAATGAAACCATATGGAATGAAATGACTCACTAAATACGCTGATCTGACACCACCATCTTCGGTCTCATCAGGAGTAATGATGAATCCTCTGACAGAGCAGAGACCCAAAATGTGCTTCAGTGGAGTAAAGTTAACAACCTCCCGCTGAACGCATCAAAAACATGTGAACTGGTCTTCGACTTCAGTCGTAACAGTTCTCACTCGCCTGTTTTTATTGATAACTCCCAGGTGCTGATTGTAGAGGTGTGCCAGTTTCTGGGTTTATCTCTGTCTAATGAAATGAAATGGGTAAAAAACACTAACCGGGTCGTTAAGAAAGCTCGTCAGCGTCTCTACTTTCTGCAAAAACGTTGCCACTGACTCTAAGATTCTGCTTAACTTCTATCGCTGCACCATTGAGAGTTGTTGGTTCTGTGTCTGTGTGGTTTGGAAACATCACAGACAAAGAAAGGAGAGCTCTAAACAAGATGCTAACTTGCATGTCCTGCATCTTGCACTTGTATTGAAACTGATTTAGTCAATCGATTTCACAGTCACAATTGTTTCCTGTTTTATTTGTTTTATTTCTGTACTTTTGTTGTTTTATGTATGTACTTGTCTTGTGTACACCGGGAACTTTTAAAAATGTGGTTTTACTGCTAATGGCAAATATATATCTATCTGAATCTGAATATATATCTGTATGAATCTGAATCTGTAACCTGCATCCATACTGACCCTCTGAGGACCGGTCTGACCCCTCTGCTTTACAATACCTCTAAACGCTAAGGTCCAGGAGCAGGACTTACGTTGTCCCAGCTGAACTCCAGCATGGGCCGGACCAGGGTGAACTCTTCGTTGACCTTCTTGCCCTGGAGGTCGGAGAACACCTCCTTGAGTCCGTCTCCGATGCGGTACATGGTCATGTCCCGTCTGAAGATCACGCTGAAGGGGAACATGTCGAAGAAGATGCCCCTCTTCATCGGCAGCTTCTCGTAGCTCGGAGCCGTCTTCTGCTGCGGCATCCGGTGTTTGAAGGCAGCGTTGTCAAAGTTCATCTTATAAACCTGGAAGTCCAAGAGGAGAACGGTAAAGACACAACCATTTATTTGTTATGTCTTTTATCATGACCCAACCTGCTGCCAAGGACTGGACCATGACTGTCACCCTGCAGAGCAGCTTCAGTGACAGACTGATCTACCCCTGCTGTGTAAAGGAGTCTGATGCTGTCAGACAGTGCTAAGTCTAAGACTGGTGCTTTCTGCTCCACTCCCCTCTTTTCGACTGGCGATTACAGGAGAGGGAAGCAGGATAGAAACACACTTATTTTTGCTGCTGAAAGTAGACAGTCCAGTCTTTCAGATTCTGGTTTCATATTTATCATAGTCATAGCAAACAATATTCTTTGAGTCTTGAAAATCAGCGACATCATCAAAAATAGCTGGCAGACAAAGAGCTATGATCCCAGCCCATGCTTCACTAAATCTACTTCATACCTTTGCATTTCTTTTTAAATTTAAGTCTATGTATCTCTGCAATAAAGAACAAATAATAATAATAATACACATTTGTTTCCCCCAAGTGAAAATACGCACCACATAAGTCATCTTCTCCGTCTCCTCTTTGGACAGAATCTCGACTTCTATGTCTGTGTTGTAGAACTGTCGGCCGACCTGAGACAGCTGACCTGTGGAGACGCTCTCGTTAGAACATTCAACAACTAAACAACTAAACCTGGAGACAAACTATTCAAACACTTTTACACAACATCGGAAAGACAGACACAGGAGGAATATGGCACCAGGACAAGGTAAACAACGTCTACTTTCAATAAGTGTAACCTCAGCAGTTATGTTCAGTGTTACTAACAGTTTGTTGTGACAAATATTGGGCACGTGTTTGAGCTTGATTCAACGCAGGGAAGATTCTGATCTGCTACAAAAACCCACAGTGAAGAGTAAATACTCCAGAGTTCAGGAGTTTGCGTAACACTGCTCGGTACATGTGAAAAAAATGTATTGTATATTCTCCCTATTTATCTGTTCAACAATGATCTGAATAATGTCATATCCATAGACTGTAAATATCAACAAATGTAGTGACATCTATCTCCGTCGTTGAAACTTATGTGTCATCACTTTTCCCGCCTGCCGTTTTTTCAAAATGGCCGCCGGGACTCCCTGCACTCCCTTAACGAGTGCATTCTTAAGTCCACAGCAGCTAAACTAGACTGGTCCAAAAAAAATCCTCCCCGACCTCAGGATCGACAGCATCTGGAGCGAAGCTTTGGACCAAGAGCCACTTTTGGACCATCCTGTGAAGCTGTTTTCGAGAGGAAAATAGGTGCCAGAATTATCATTGGATAATTCTTTTTCCGGGTACACCCCCACCAGCAAGGAGTCAGATTACAGCATGTCAGGGCACATACTCATGGACCCGGGACATTTGAGCCTGGACCCGCCCCCACTGGTCAGGATGTGCAATATGGAACACACATAAAGAGTCACTTTGTCCCAGACCAAACCCACTGTTCTGTAACTGCGATGCAACACTGACATTTCCCAAACGTGAAACCAATAAATGACCTTCGTCTTTATCTTTGTACCTTTGACGAACTGTGTGAAGCCCTTGCGTGTGCTGCGGTAGTGCAGAGTGAGGCTGGTCTCGCACTCCTCCTCCACACAGAAGCTCGGAGGCTGCACTTTGGGGAAAGAGAAGCGAAAATACTCGTGCAGGTTGTCCAGCTCGTTGATGAAGTCTCGCACGTTCCTTCCCAGAACCTGGAATCACAAAGACATCAGCTCCGAGGCTCCAGCTGCAAGATTGGGGGTCCTTCGGGGACCTTGGTCTGTAAAATACGCAATATAAATAAACCTTACTTACTTACTTACTTTACTAGATCAAAGTAAATACATGTGAATAAGTTCTCTTCTCCCCACTCCCTTTCAGGCAAAATAGCGTTTTGATTTCGTTATAGGTATGGTTTTATATGATAATATCAACTGTGCTCTTGTGTTTGCCTGAAAATACATGAATAAATAAATGTATTCCAGTGTATTAGAGTGTATAGAGTGGATATCCTACTACATTGTTGCTAAGTGTGACGCCATTTCTCACTTTTGCGCTGCCAGAAAACATAGTATACTGAACAAAAATATAAACGCAACACTTTTGTTTTTGCTCCCATTTTCCATGAGATGGACTTAAAGATCTAAAGATCCAGATACACAATATTACCATTTCTCTCAAACATTGTTCACAAATCTGTCTAAATGTGTGATAGTGAGCACTTCTGCTTTTCTGAGATAATCCATCCCACCTCACAGGTGTTCCACATCAAGATGCAGATCTGACATCAGGATTAGTGCACAGCCATAGACTGTCTGCAATAAAAGGCCACTCTGAAATGTGCATTATTTTGTTTAATTGGGGGTCTGGGGACTCAGAACCAGTCGGTGTCTGGGTCTGGGGACTCAGAACCAGTCAGTGTCTAGGTCTGGGGACTCAGAACCAGTCAGTGTCTGGGTCTGGGGACTCAGAACCAATCAGTATCTGGGTCTGGGGACTCAGAACCAGTCAGTATCTGGGTGTGGGGACTCAGAACCAGTCGGTGTCTGGGTGTGGGGACTCAGAACCAGTCGGTGTCTGGGTGTGGGGACTCAGAACCAGTCAGTATCTGGGTCTGGGGACTCAGAACCAGTCGGTGTCTGGTGTGACCACCATTTGCCTCATGCAGTGCAACACATCTTCCTACATAGAGTTTGTCAGATTGTCAATTGTGGCCTGTGGAATTTTGGCCCACTCCTCTTCAATGGCTGTGCTGCTGGATGTCAGAGGGAACTGGTGCACGCTGTTGTGTACGCCGCTCAAGCACATCCCAAACATGCTCAATGGGCGACATGTCCAGTGAGTGAGCTGGCCATACAAGAACTGGGACATTATCAGCTTCCAAGAATTGCATACAGGTCCTTGCAACAAGGGGCCTTGCATTATCTGCTGAAACATGAGGGCCATATGGTATGGCCCATGGTGGTGGTGGGGTTATGGTATGGCCCATGGTTGTGGTGGGGTTATGGTATGGGCCATACCATACCCCACCACCACCATGGGTCATGGTATGGTATGGGTTATGGTATGGTTATGGTATGGGCCATACCATAACCCCAACACCACCATGGGCCATACCATAACCCCACCACCACCATGGGCCATACCATAACCCCACCACAACCATGGGCCACTCCATCCACAACATTGACATCAGCAGAGCGCTCGCCCACACGACGCCACACAGGCTGTCTGTCTTCTGCCCTGAACAATGCAAACCCAGATTAATCCGTGAAGAGACCACCTCTCCAACGTGCCAGACGCCATGTGAGCATTTGCCCACTCATGTCTGTTACGGCAACGAGCTGGAGTCAGGTCAAGACCTCGATGAGGACGACAAGCTGCAGTTGACCGTCCCTGAGATGGTTTCTTACAGTTTGTGCAGAAATTGTTTGGTTATGCAAACCAATTGGATGTACTGCCATATTCTCTGAAACGCCTTTGGAGACGGCTTATGGTGGAGAAATGAACATTCGATGCAGATCTGGTGCGCTGACAGCAGGGATGTCGACAGATCTGGTCGTCATTCCTGCTGTCAGCGCACACTCCCTCAATACTTGTGGCATCTGTGGCAACTGCACATTTCAGAGTGGCCTTTTATTGTGGACAGTCTAACAGGGAATTGCCACAGTAGGCGTTAATGGCGCGTAAGTGTTGACTGATGTACAGAGACTGATGTAGAGTAACACAAATCACATGCATGTGTTTGTCTTCATGGTGTCTGTGTGCTGGTTTGACCAGACGCGAGACTTTATGAAAGGACTGCCAGAAAATCATGTTTCAAATGTGTTTTGACTAGCGCACAAATTTAGAAATCCATCGCGTCAATACGTCTGTCATACGTCCGTCATATGTCTGTCATACGTCCGTCATACGTCTGTGATACGTCCGTCATACGTCTGTGATACGTCCGTCATACGTCCGTCATACGTCCGTCATACGTCTGTGATACGTCCGTCATACGTCTGTGATACGTCTGTCATACGTCCGTCAATACGTCTGTCATACGTCCGTCATACGTCTGTCATACGTCTGTCATACGTCCGTCATACGTCCGTCAATACGTCTGTCATACGTCCGTCATACGTCTGTCATACGTCTGTCATACGTCCGTCATACGTCCGTCATACGTCTGTCATACGTCCGTCATACGTCTGTGATACGTCCGTCATACGTCCGTCATACGTCCGTCATACGTCCGTCATACGCACGTGTAACACTAGAAGTGTAAATATCACCATTGGTTCAGATGGAACAATGTTACGCCCATCTGCTGTGCGTACAACGCGTACGTGCTGCAACGCCTCCTGTGGACATTAGCATTGAGACTGTGCACTAATCATGTCAGATCAGCATCTTGATGTGGCACACCCGCGAGGTGGGATGGATTATCTCATCAGAGCAGAAGTGCTCACTATCACACATTTAGATAGATTTGTGAACAATGTTTGAGAGAAATGGTAATATTGTGTATCTGCATCTTTAGATCTTTAAGTCCATCTCATGGAAAATGGGAGCAAAAACAAAAGTTTATTTTTGTTGAGCCTCTGTATCCCCAGGCCTCTGTGTCACCTTGAGAATGCGTTCATATCCATAGTTGCCAATTCTTTTGACCATGTAGACTCCAAACGCGTACATCAGCTCGTCATGCGTTTTCCCCAACACCTCGCCCGCCGCCTTCGCCAACCGCAGGATCAGGTTATCACTGACAACAACAAACAGAGCAGAAAGAACGTCATAAAAAACATTACGAAAGAAGAGACACATGGACTGAGGCTGTAGACCCAGGACTGAGACTGTAGACCCAGGACTGAGACTGTAGACCCAGGACTGAGGCTGTAGATCCAGGACTGAGGCTGTAGACCCAGGACTGAGACTGTAGACCCAGGACTGAGGCTGTAGATCCAGGACTGAGACTGTAGACCCAGGACTGAGGCTGTAGATCCAGGACTGAGACTGTAGACCCAGGACTGAGACTGTAGACCCAGGACTGAGGCTGTAGATCCAGGACTGAGGCTGTAGACCCAGGACTGAGGCTGTAGACCCAGGACTGAGGCTGTAGATCCAGTACTGAGGCTGTAGACCCAGGACTGAGGCTGTAGATCCAGTACTGAGGCTGTAGACCCAGGACTGAGGCTGTAGATCCAGAACTGAGGCTGTAGACCCAGGACTGAGGCTGTAGATCCAGGACTGAGGCTGTAGATCCAGGACTGAGGCTGTAGATCCAGGACTGAGGCTGTAGACTCAGGACTGAGGCTGTAGACCCAGGACTGAGGCTGTACTGTAGATCCAGAACTGAGGCTGTAGACCCAGGACTGAGGCTGTAGATCCAGAACTGAGGCTGTAGACCCAGGACTGAGGCTGTAGATCCAGAACTGAGGCTGTAGACCCAGGACTGAGGCTGTAGACCCAGGACTGAGGCTGTAGATCCAGGACTGAGGCTGTAGATCCAGGACTGAGGCTGTAGACCCAACCCAACTTTGCCTGTAGCTCTCGCTGAGAGATAAGTAAGTAATCTTTATATTACGCCTTTCACAGACCAGAGTCCCAAAGTTGGTTAATAATAATAATAATAATAATAATGCACCGGTTTTATATTGTGCTTTTCTGGACACACAAAGACACTTTACATCTCATTATTCTTTCTCTCACACAGTGGAGATAAACTACTACTGTCACCACAGCTGCCCTGGGACACACTGACAGAAGCGAGGCAACCAGTATGTGCCATCAGCCCCTCCCACCACCACCAACCATTCACACACACACACCAGACTCATTCTAATGTGGGGGAAGTGTCTTGCCTAAGGACACAACCACAGTTTGACACTTTACAGCCACAGCCGCCCCACTGTGGCACCTGCTGTTGTGGGAGTCTGTCTCTCTCTCCACACAGAGATGACAGATCAAGGCTCTGTCACCTCTGGACTCACCACCTGCAGGAGGATCAGTGAGGGGCTAGTGCTATCCACCCACCCGACCCAGAAATGGGTAAAGGGTAGGAAATGGATGGATGAACATTGTGGAAAATGCATAGAATACATTTAATGGATTTATAACGTGTAAGAAAAAGCTTGCTGTCGTCTGCCAGTAAATATATTTTGTTTAGATTTCAATGTCAGTGAAAACAAATTATCTCTGAAGCTTCCACACTATTCAAACGTGAATGAATCACTTTAATGAGACACTAATGGAGAGGGACGTCATTAAAACAAGGTTTACAGCTCGTCTGCATCACACCTTTACTTTATGGCAGATGTGTGTTTGCAATAAGGTTCAATTATGATTGGAACAATTATCATAATCATTTGCCTAATGCTCTCCGCTCTCATCAGGGGCTCCTATAGCTGCCGTGATTTCATTAAGTCAACATTTTTAATGGATCTACAGCCTCAGTCCTGGGTCTACAGCCTCAGTCCTGGATCTACAGCCTAAGTCCTGGGTCTACAGCCTCAGTCCTGGGTCTACAGCCTCAGTCCTGGGTCTACAGCCTCAGTCCTGGGTCTACAGCCTCAGTCCTGGATCTACAGCCTCAGCCCTGGGTCTACAGCCTCAGTCCTGGATCTACAACCTCAGCCCTGGGTCTACAGCCTCAGTCCTGGGTCTACAGCCTCAGTCCTGGGTCTACAGCCTCAGTCCTGGGTCTACAGCCTCAGTCCTGGATCTACAACCTCAGCCCTGGGTCTACAGCCTCAGTCCTGGGTCTAGAGCCTCAGTCCTGGGTCTACAGCCTCAGTCCTGGATCTACAGCCTCAGCCCTGGGTCTACAGCCTCAGTCCTGGATCTACAGCCTCAGTCCTGGGTCTACAGTCATGAAGCCACCTGTGCCATTCCCTTAGTGATAACACAAAGAATGCATTACAGAAAGACATCTGGAGTTAATCAGTCTAATCTGGAAAATCTCATTCTTGTTCCGTGTAAGAATCAGCCGACCACAACCGCTGATCCTGAAACTTTGAAACTTGCTATGCTAAATGTCAGATCTCTTTCTAACAAATCTTTTTTAATCAATAATTTTATTTGTTCTTATAATCTTGATCTTATGTTCATGGCTGAAACATGGCTTGACCAAAATACAGAAAATGCAGTTTTAATAGAAGCATCACCACCAAATTTCAAATTTGAATCTGAAATACGGGAAAACAAAAAAGGAGGAGGCTTAGCTGCCATTTTTAGAGACCACTTTGTCTCCCATAGAATGTCTCTTGGGAAGTTTCCGTCTTTTGAATATGTGTCTTTTAAAATACAACAAAAACAATCTCCTCCAATACTCTTCATAGTCCTATACAAGCCACCGCAGTCATGTCACAGTTTTATTGATAATTTTACCGAGTTGCTTTCAGTTGTATGCACAGATTTTGATTGTTTAGTTATTACAGGTGATTTTAATATTCATGTGGATAATGTTGATGACAGAAATGCAAAAGAGCTGAGTTCTTTACTTGATACCTTTGGTCTCACTCAGCACGTAAGTGGCCCCACCCACAGCAGAGGGCACATTCTAGATCTGTTAGTTACAAAGGGGGTGAATATTTCAAATATAAGCGTGGTCGATGTTGCTCTTTCGGATCATTTTTGTATATTTTTTGACATGTGTTTCACTAACAAACCACCAGTGGACTCTGCAACTGTTCGAAGTCGTATTCTACTGTAGATGAACTGTTTAACTCTGTCACCTCTAGTGTTTTGAATGTTCTGGATACTGTTGCCCCTGTGAAGGTTAAAATAGTGAAAAATAAGCAGAAGGCGCCGTGGGCTAAAGCAGACTCGGTCAGATCACTGAAGAGAAAGTGCCGGAGGGTCGAGCGGAAGTGGCGCAAGTCCAACCTCCAGGTTGATTACAAGATATTCGAGGATAAGTTGTGCGAGTTTAACCGGGTGCTACGTAGTACGAGAGAAAGGTATTTTTCTTAAATGATTGAAGGCTGCAGTAACAATCTGCGTGTTCTGTTTTCAACAGTTAATAGATTAACAAACCCCCCTGTTCAGATGCCATTAGAGCTAACTTCCAAACGTAAATGCAATGAGTTTGCACACTTTTTCAATGACAAGGTTCAAGGCATCAAAAACGCCATTGTCTCCAATCCACAGATAACCATCCAACAGCCAGAAAGGCTCTCTGAGCTAACTTACTTTGCACCTGTATATGATAAAAATGTCCAAGAAATAATCTCTAGTTTGAGCTCCTCCACATGCAGCCTGGATGTACTACCCACTAGATTTCTGAAGTCTGTTCTGAGCAGTCTGTTACCTTCACTCACACAGATAGTAAACATGTCCCTTCATTCTGGAATATTCCCAAAGGCCCTGAAAACGGAAGTCATCAGGCCCCTGCTAAAAAAGAGCAGCCTGGATGCTACGGTACTTAACAACTATCGTCCCATCTCAAATCTGCCATTTATGGGGAAAGTCCTTGAAAAAGTTGTCTACCTACAGCTTACTAGATTTCTTATAATCAACAACTCATTTGATATGTTTCAGTCCGGTTTTAGACCCCACCACAGCACTGAGACTGCTCTTGTCAACGTTACAAACGATATCCGGCTGAACACTGACGCAGGCAAAGTCTCAATCTTAATCTTGTTAGATCTGAGTGCTGCCTTTGACACCGTCGACCATGAGATCCTCTTACAGAGATTAGAGGACTGGGTTGGCGTCGCTGGCACCGCCCTAAGTTGGTTTAGGTCTTACCTTGAGGACAGGAAGTACTTTGTGGAGATTGGAAACTGTGTCTCAGATCATATGGCCCTGACCTGTGGAGTACCACAGGGGTCGATCCTGGGACCTCTTCTGTTCAATCTCTACATGCTGCCGCTAGGTCAGTTAATACGCAGAAACGAAGTGTCCTATCACAACTATGCAGACGACACTCAGATCTATGTCTCACTGACTGCAGGAGAACATGGACCAGTGGACTCACTCCTTCACTGTATCCAACAGATCAGTGAGTGGATGCAAAACAACTTCCTTCAGCTAAACGCAGACAAAACTGAAATGATTGTCTTTGGTCCCCAGAAACAAAGAGAGAGCGTCATCTGTCACCTACAGTCTCTCTCCCTAAAACCTTCAAACAGGGTCAGAAATCTAGGGGTAATACTGGACTCAGACTTAAATTTTAATAGCCACATCAAATCAGTAACATCAGCAGCTTTTTACCATCTAAAAAACTTTGCCAGGATCAAAAACATAGTGTCTAAAGCAGACTTGGAGATTCTTATCCATGCATTTGTCTCCAGTAGGTTAGACTACTGCAATGGCCTGCTCACAGGTCTGTCCAAACAGGCTGTAAAACAGCTGCAGTACATTCGAAATGCAGCAGCTCGAGTCCTGACTAGAACCAGGAAGTAGGACCACATTAGTCCGGTCCTCAGGTCTCTGCACTGGCTTCCTGTGGCTCAGAGAATAGACTTTAAAACAGCTCTGCTTGTGTACAAATCTCTCCATGGCCTCGCACCAAACTATATTAGTGACATGTTAGTCCCATATGAACCAGCCCGGACTCTGAGGAGCACAGGGACTGGACTCCTGTTAGTGCCCAGAGTCAGAACTAAACATGGGAAGGCTGCTTTTCAGATTCATGCTGCTAAAATCTGGAACAGTCTTCCTGAAGTTGTGAGACAGACCTCCTCTCTGACAATGTTTAAAACCAGGTTAAAGACGGTTCTGTTTAGCTGTGCATACAACTGAGGGATTTTATATTTTTATCTTTTTTTTTAATGTACTGTGATTATTTATGATTTTAATGCTTTCTTGTTTTGTTCAGCACTTTGAATTGCCTTGTGTATGAATTGTGCTATACAAATAAACTTGCCTTGCCTTGCCTTGCCTTACAGCCTCAGTCCTGGGTCTACAGCCTCAGTCCTGGGTCTACAGCCTCAGTCCTGGATCTACAGCCTCAGTCCTGGGTCTACAGCCTCAGTCCTGGGTCTACAGCCTCAGTCCTGGGTCTACAGCCTCAGTCCTGGATCTACAGCCTCAGTCCTGGGTCTACAGCCTCAGTCCTGGATCTACAGCCTCAGTCCTGGGTCTACAGCCTCAGTCCTGGGTCTACAGCCTCAGTCCTGGGTCTGTAGCCTCAGTCCTGGGTCTACAGCCTCAGTCCTGGGTCTGTAGCCTCAGTCCTGGATCTACAGCCTCAGTCCTGGGTCTACAGAGTGTCCGTCCATGGGAGCAGATCAATGTGTTTCCAGAGAAAGAGACCAGAGAGAGACTGAGAAAGACCAGAGAGAGACCAGAGAGAGACTGAGGGACAATACATTCTCCAGTCTCACCTGGAGGGTTCTCTCAGTCTCAGGCAGATGTGATACTGGTGTCTTACTTGTACATCTGGTGCCGCACAAACTTGAGGTGTGGGATCTCGGCACGGTTCTCGATCAGCCGCCACACGTCCTCGCCGTACGACTCGTTGATGTAATCGTTCACGGCTTCCAGATACAGGCCGTACATCTTCAGAGCTCCCCACGCTGAAGCCCAACTTTACTAACCAGCTGAGCAGGAGGAAAAAAGTTAGTTACATTCCATACATACACCCACAACTAAAGTGGATGGGGGGGTCTATTGTTGAAATAAAAACCAGATTATTTTTTTTTCAAACTCATTTAATGGTCCATGGTTTCGGCCTTGCATACAGTAGATGTATATCGATGGGACTTCCTAGTTACATAAAGACAAATTCATATATTAAAGCTGATTGCATGTTGTAGGGAGCTCCACCCAAGCCCCCAAGGTGTCTCCCCCTGGTCTTTCCAAGATGTCTCCCCATGGTCTCCAAGATGTCTTTCCCTGGTTTCTCCAAGATGTCTGCCCCAAGTCTCTCCAAGATGTCTGCTCCTGGTCTCTCCAAGATGTCTGCCCAAAGTCTCTCCAAGATGTCTGCTACAGGTCTCTCCAAGATGTCTGCCTCTGGTCTCTCCAAGATGTCTGCCTCTGGTCTCTTCCAAGATGTCTGCCCAAAGTCTCTCCAAGATGTCTGCTACAGGTCTCTCCAAGATGCCTGCCCCAAGTCCCTCCAAGATGTCTGCTACAGGTCTCTCCAAGATGTCTGCCCCAAGTCTCTCCAAGATGTCTGCCCCAAGTATCTCTAAGATGTCTGCCCCAAGTCTCTCCAAGATGTCTTCTCCTGGTCTCTTCAAGATGTCTGTTTGGATGGATGTGTTTCTGCTGCATCTTGACACCTGTATGTCTTCTACAAGGATCAATAAAGAGCAGAAGTGTTTTGTCCAGCTCTGGTTCTCAGAGAAAGACCAGAGAGACACAATCCTGTTTTGTGAAAGCCGTGGTTCTCTGTCAGCTGAGGACGGGCCGCTTTAGTGAACACTGAGGTCTGTGTTTGGATTCAAGCTGCAGTACCGTGGGTGGCCTCTAGTCTAAGTGGAGACGGGTTAGATTGTTTTCCTGAAAATAGCTGGGAAGTTGTGCAACCGGCCCAAAATGTATCTGTGTATATATTATAATTGTTTAAGAGTTCATTTATATGTGAAACTGACTTCTTACTACTTGAAAATATTTGTATTGATAGATAACAAGAATAAGTTTAATTCAATAATGTCATGGCCGCACTAAACAACGTTAGCAAATATACATATACTTTTAAATCCATAAGTTTCTACTAAGTAAACACAATTGTGACTGTGGTAATGAGTGTGTGTGTTGTTGATTAAAGGGCAAATAACATCACAGACGCACACACAAACACACACATATGGGGATTTGTCATTTGTCCTTCATGTGGACTTTCTTTTAGAATGTAGCTGGTGCATTACGCAGGTCCGCTCAATAGCACCTGTATTAGCTTACATGACTGAATAGAGCTTTTACAGCCTTTGGATTAAAATCAATGGGTGAAAACCAAAACCTTTGTGGCCGTGAATGAAGCCATTTTATCACAAAGTTCTGTTCTCTGCTTTTAAATCATTAGTCCCACTGAAACGACCGAAATGACCTTCACAACCAGCCCTTTATGTTATGCTAAAAGCTAAACTAAATGTCTATGGTGTGCACTTATTGCCGTAGTAGTATATACAGTATATTATTTGATACATGCCTTTGCCTTTTATTACTCTTGAGCCAAAGTCAATTCCTAGTTTAAGTTTGACTTCCTGTTACTCACAAAGGCATTAAAAAATAGTTCTGATTGTAAATAAAAAAGGTTAGACTGTTCATTTACGTCTCACAGACAGATTTGAATGGCTGATGCTATAGAGGAAAAGGCTGACTTCAATACGCCCTAGTGGGATGCATGAATAAATAATACATTAGCAGCATGATAGGACCGTACCTGTGTCAGGCCCAACCTCAAGAAACCTCAAGCCAGCTCCTCAAACACCACCACATCTACGGAACAAGCAGAACTTCTGTGACTACCCAAAACCCATTCTCCAAATCACTCAGAGTTGCACAGAAACGGCCAAAACCCAGATCTAAAAAATTGACGCCCGCACAGGTTAACTCCGAGGGTCTGAGAAAGTGTGTGTGGGTGGGCAAGAGCAGTGGCCTCACCTGCGCTCCGTGGATGTGAGGTCCAGTGGGGTCCGTCGCAGGCTGAGGTCTGCTGAGCGCCGGGAGAGCAGCAGCTGCACATGACAAGGCTGCCCCCCATGTCCCCTCGACTCTCCACCCACTCTGTCACAGCCACAGGTGACCGAGGCAGAAATAGACCCAGCGCAGCATGTTTGTGGCAGGTAACGTGGAGGGCCTGGTCTCGCATTATCAAAGCAAATGTTATCAAAGGTAGAGATGGGTTAAGAAGGCGATAAAATGGTAGTTAGGAGGTTGGTGGGACTAGGTGTTTGGTTCTATAATGGATAATACGCCCATTCTATTCAATATATTTGTGTTTAGCCTAAAGTAACCAAGAAAGCAACCAAATATTTACGGAATAAATCAGATATGAACTTAGTACAAGCCTGTCCGGAGTGGAGGAAGGAGACAGCTGAGGATTCTGACTGTCAGTCTCAAACCAGTTCTCCAGATGTAGAGCTCTGTCAGAGAGACTGCAAGGAGAAAACAAAAAATATGTTTGTAATGAGGTTGCACCCCCTCAGTCCTGGATCTACAGTCTCAGTCCTGGATCTACAGTCTCAGTCCTGGATCTACAGTCTCAGTCCTGGATCTACAGTCTCAGTCCTGGATCTACAGCCTCAGTCCTGGATCTACAGTCTCAGTCCTGGATCTACAGCCTCAGTCCTGGGTCTACAGCCTCAGTCCTATAGATCTACAGTCTGTGCTCACTTTATCCCTCTGGGTTTGTTCTGGTTCCTCTCTGGACAGTCTCAGGGCAGTGGTGATGGGGGATACAGTCTTTAATAACATGGACCATCCTGCTCAACATCCCGGGATCCCACGTCACATCTAGATATGTTTGTTATTGCTTGAGTTCCAACTGTTCTCTGATCTGACCCAGGACTGAGGCTGTAGATCCAAGACTGAGGCTGTAGACCCAGGACTGAGGCTGTAGACCCAGGACTGATGCTGTAGATCCAGGACTGAGGCTGTAGATCCAAGACTGAGGCTGTAGACCCAGGACTGAGGCTGTAGACCCAGGACTGATGCTGTAGACCCAGGATTGAGGCTGTAGATCCAGATATTTTAACTATTATATCCATAGATTCTCTTCATTTAAAGTCACACGGTGTAGATTTATTGATGATTGAAACACCAAACACATGTAGTGAGAACATATTAAATTGTTATTAACCCTGAGCTTCAATTGTGGACTCTGAATTTGCATGTTCTTCTCTCCCACCGACAGGAAACACAGTGTATTATTAGAGCCGCAGCTTTTGTGACGAGGACAATCCACGGGTCCAGAGCGAGTCCTCCACACGAGTGTTTTTCCTTCGACTGGAGGAGGTTTGAAAAAGCACTAAAGAGCGAGGAAGACGTCAGACGGAAGCAATCCAAAGTGGTTCTCCTTTAATAACAGCAGGAATATACCAAACCTGCAGCGTCAGAAATGCTCAGGGCCAAGAAGAGTTTATTTGTACGGCACACTTTATTCTTGGGTTTCATTAAACTGGCCAGTAGGGGGCGCATGAGCAGAGGTGGGTCAGTTTTGCTCCCATTAAAAACCATGTAAAGTCTGTTTTAGAGTCAAAGGCTCTCATCCTGTGCGGTGTACGGTTGTTGGAACAGTCTTAATCGGGGACACTCAACTCTAAGGGAGTACTAACAAATATTTCTCAAAAGAGTCTTGATTTCGGGCATTTTTGGAGAAAAAAAAACAGAAGAAATTGCTGCGTTTCATTGGGGTGGCCTGCATGGGGCGCTGATCTGGGAAAGCTTTGATCCACCTCGCCCGCCTCATTCCGTATAAACCCGGCAGACTGCACCCCCAGGATACGTCACGTCCTGTCCTACGTTTGTTATTTGCACCACTGCCCTGACGTCAGATGAAACCCAAGAATACAGTCTGTGTTAGCTAGATCCAGGACTGAGGCTGTAGATCCAGGACTGAGGCTGTAGACCCAGAACTGAGGCTGTAGATCCAGGACTGAGGCTGTAGATCTAGGACTGAGGCTGTAGATCCAGGACTGAGGCTGTAGAGACACATAAGGCCGTTGGTCCAGAGGCAGCGGGTCCAGAAACTAAAAGATGATTTATGGGTCCCAGAGCGGGGAAATGTCAGTGTTGCATTACCAGGTACAGAGCAGTAGGAATGAGCAGATCACAGATGGATAAATGAACCTCTATCTACACTCTCTACTGAATGAAAAACATAAAATAAAACCTAGCTTTAGCATAACGAAGAAGCAATCTATAATCTCCAGCTTTAGCAGAATGAAGAAGCAAGAATGAAGAACACATTCTCTGACTTTAGTGTAATTAAGAAGTGTAAACATCTCTAGCTTTAGCATAGGACAGATGCAATGGCGCTCTAGTGTGTTCCGTGGTGCACACTGGGGAGGTCTTGCACAGTTTTTCCAATGTGGTTTTACTGCAAACGGCAAATCAATTCTTGAAAAAAAATCTTGAAGTATAGATTGAAGCAACCTGCAGCCGGCTCCTTTCTGAGCATGTGTAGAAATGTTAATAAATGTTCCTTCATTTCAGATTTATCCAGCAAAAAAAGTCTTCTCGAAAATGTGAGACAGGCTTCTTCTCTGACAATCTTCAAATCCAGGTTAAAGACAGTTCTGTTTTTGCGTCAAGTGAAGGATTTGATCTTGGAGTGAGATTATTCATGATTTTAAAACCTTGTGTCTGTCTGGTTTTCTCACACACTTTGAGTTCCCTTTGTGTATGAACCGTGCTATACATATAAACTTGCCTTGCTCTCATGTATATTTAAATAAATTCACGGCACACGGACAAGAAATACAGACTATAACTATTGAAATGAGGAAAAGTCACGTTAACGAGTCTAGATTTTGACTTGAGAATGATTTTAGCAGATCTCCCATTCAGTGTATTCTTGTATCGACCAAAGTCACAACATCCGCCGTCTGTGAGGACTTTACAAAGTTATTGATTCTCCAACAGCAGATCAGAGAATCAAACACGAGAAATGCAACATTAAAAAACAAATTGGTCCATAAGCAGCAGAGACCAATGTCTGTAAATGTTGATAAATGCCCGGATCATCCCCGCTGTCTAAAGTGGACCTATTTTAACTGCACATGAACACACACTGCAAAAAGAGGTGAAAAATCTGTATGAAATTGCTCAAAATGGCAAAAATGTGTGTTAATCTGAGCACATTCTGACTGAGCCATGAAACTAGATTCTCCACCGAGACAAAGCAAAATGATCTTGTTTTAGAAAGATCTGTATCTTTCTAAAACAATGTCTCATTCCAATGTCTCCATTGGAATGAGTTTTAACACAGACAGAATGAACTCAGATGAAGGTATATAATAATAATAATAAAAATAATAATAATAATAATAATGCATTGGTTTTATACAGTACTTTTCTGGACTCTCAAAGTCCCGTCACATGTCATTATTCTCTCTCTCCAAACACAGTGGTGATAAACTACTGTAGCCACAGCTGCCCTGGGGCACACTGACAGAAGTGAGGCAACCAGTCTGTGCCATCAGCCCCTCCCACCACCACCAACCATTCACACACACACCAGACTCATTCTAGGCAATGGGGGTAAAGTGTCTTGCCTAAGGACACAACAGCAGTTCGGCACTTTACAGCCACAGCCACCCAACTGTGGCTGCTGTTCCCAGAGGTTACTGTAAGTGTCTTGCCCAAGGACACAACGACAGCAGACAGTGGGAGTCGATGGAAAAAGTTTTGTGGTGGGCTCGAACCCACAACCTTCAGGCTCTACCAACTGAGCCACTGTCGCCTCCAAAAGGATATATAGGAGGATTTTCTACTTCCGGGTGGATCATCAAATTTGTCCTCCCAATCGTTCTGGTGATACGTATCAAATAAAACCAGAGAGTTTAGCTCAAAAAGTGGCGAGAGCGATTCTTTTCTAAAATTTGGGGAAAAAATCCACCGATAAACCTTTAAGATAAAAACCACTTAATCCAAGCAATTCGTTTTTTGCAGTGTGTGTTTGACTTAAAAACCAGCCTGCTTCTCTGTGTGTGTGTGTGACTTCCCTGCCTCACCACCGGCCGTGTCCAGCAGGGGGCACTGTTGCAGCGCAGGTCTCTGGGTGAGTTGAGTCAGGGCTGTGAGAGTCGCAGGTAAAGCTCATACTGTATATTCTGTGTGCGACAGTGGCCTTTGAGAGAGCAGACGTGAAAGATGATCCATGTGTTTCTCAGCAACACTTTGGCCTTTGCTGTCGCTGTCGTGCATCGAGAGACGAGCCAGAGCCCAGTCCTCCTCTCCTCTGAGTCGGGAAAACCACTCTGGGACCGGGTCTGGGTCTACAGAGACACATTCAGCACAGGATAGGGTTTTAAGACTGGATGCTTCTCTCTGAGCCAAGTGCAAATGGAGACACTGTACTTTATGTGTACTGTATCTGTCGTCACTATGAGTTCAGCGTAGTCTGTTCATTGCTTTTCACCCGCTGTCCCAGTGTCTGTTTCATGGCGAGATGATGGGATCCCTGAACCCGGCGTCATCCATTGTTTTGCATAGCTTCAGTCCTGGGTCTACAGCCTCAGTCCTGGGTTTGCAGACTCAGTCCTGGATCTACAGCCTCAGTCCTGGATCTACAGCCTCAGTCCTGGATCTACAGTCTCAGTCCTGGGTCTACAGCCTCAGTCCTGGGTCTACAGTCTCAGTCCTGGATCCACAGCCTCAGTCCTGGATCTACAGCCTCAGTCCTGGATCTACAGCCTCAGTCCTGGATCTACAGCCTCAGTCCTGGGTCTACAGCCTCAGTCCTGGATCTGCAGCCTCAGTCCTGGTTTTGATTTTCACATTAAAATCAAGTGATTTATATGGATTTTACCACTTTGCCACAAGTGCTAAAAATGTTGTATATAACTTGAAATACGCCAAAAACGGTTTGGTGAAAGGCTAAATGCTAACGACTAGCAAGTTGACAGTGTGTTAACTTTTGTGGCGGAAAACCGAGCTTAGAACCAGAACCAGCAACTCGCCAACTGCCGTAGTATATTGTTTGGAGCAGTCAAAATGACGGTAATGGAAGTAAAAAATAGAATTGAATAATACAAGAAAATGCCGACATATAGAAAATAACCGATTCATTAAAAAAAGTTACCAAGACGACTTCTCAGCAGCCTTCACAATGTTGGACTCTTCAGAACGTTGTGATGTCACATGAACCCTTCCTTTTGGAATGGTTTGATTTTCTTATTTGCGATTAAAAAGTGAACTGTGTGGTTCCAGATCAGGCCGGTCAAACTCAGGCCTGTGGTCCAAATCCGGCCCCGAGATCATTTGTGGGTGGTCCGGAATTATTTTCAATGATCTCTATCACTGTAACTTAAAACAGGCCACTTAACTCATTGACTGCCAGCGGTTATTGATGATTTCGCTGACTTTCAAGAGTGAAAAGTGAAATTTGAAACCAGATTCTGAAAGACTGAACCGTCTTCTTTCATCAGCAAAAATACATTGGTTTCTAGCTAGTTTTGTTCTCCTGTTCTCCCGAGTCGAATGTGGGAAAGTTTCACAGAAATCACCAAGACAAATACATCAATGGCAGTCAATGAGTTCACTATGGCCCGTTATACTTCATTTTAAAACAACCATATAGCTGTGTTTGTTCTAAGATGTGAACTAAAATGTCATTAAAACTTATTGTTACCTAATTATAATATTTTTTTCTGAACTCTCAGTCCTCACATACATTTCTGATAGATATTTGGCTCATCTGTGGTAGAATCTAAAACACACACTCCTGGCCATGATCAACTCTAATGTTTTTAAATTTGACCAAAATGGCCCCCGTGGTCTGGAGGATTGTGGGTTGTTCACAAATACATTGAATAAAAAAGTCAATTTTAAAGCCAAGTTTAATTTCTCGCCTTCTCATTGTTCCCTGTGCTCTCCTAAGTGTGACCGCGACAGTCCAGGATCCTCCGGGACCGTAATGAGCTGTTCCTCCTCAAGTCTCTTCCACTCCTCAGAGAGATCCCATTCACCCACCTCAGAGTGCGACATCATAATGGGACCGCCTCACACCTCTCTGCTCTCTCTGCTCTCTCTGCTCTCTCTGCTCCATCTGCTCCCTCTGCTCTCTCTGCTCCCTCTGGTCACTCTGCTCTCTCTGCTCTCTCTGCTCCCTCTGGTCACTCTGCTCTCTCTGCTCTCTCTGCTCTCTCTGCTCCATCTGCTCCCTCTGCTCTCTCTGCTCCCTCTGGTCACTCTGCTCTCTCTGCTCTCTCTGCTCCCTCTGGTCACTCTGCTCTCTCTGCTCCCTCTGCTCCATCTGCTCTCTCTGCTCCATCTGCTCTCTCTGCTCTCTCTGCTCCCTCTGCTCCCTCTGCTCTCTCTGCTCCCTCTGCTCTCTCTGCTCCCTCTGCTCCCTCTGCTCTCTCTGCTCCCTCTGCTCCCTCTGCTCCCTCTGCTCTCTCTGGTCCATCTGCTCTCTCTGGTCCCTCCGGTCCCTCTGCTCCCTCTGTTCTCTCTGGTCCCTCTGCTCTCTCTGCTCGCTCTGGTCCCTCTGCTCTCTCTGCTTGCTCTGGTCCCTCTGCTCCCTCTGGTCCCTCTGCTCTCTCTGGTCCTTCTGCAAACTGGGAGGTCTCATCTGCAGCTGGATGACACACCTTCCATTGTTTGATTTATGACCAGAGAGAGAGAGAGAGAGGGACCAGAGAGAGACCAAGAAAAGAGACCAGAAAGAGCAGAGACAGAGAAACTGGAGAGAGACTAAAGAGAGAGAGAGAGAGAGAGAGAGCAGAGAGAGAAGAGAGTCAAGAGATGGAGACCAGAGAGAGAGCAGCGAGAGACTAGAACGAGAGACCAGCGCGGGAGACCAGAGAGAGACAAGCAAGAGAGATTTTGGAGAGAGAGACCAGCGAGAGAGACCAGAGAGAGAGAGAGAGACATTGGAGAGAATAACTCATACAGTGACCCACAGGGCTCTTTCTTTTTCAGCCATCACAGAAGGCGTCCACTCCAGCTATTTTTCACATCAGTCAAGTCACACCCAAGACGCACACAGACACACCCAAGACGCACACACACACCCAAGACGCACACACAGACACAACACACAAACACTCCCACACAGACACAGACGGACACAAACACCCACACCACACATAGACACACACACACAGTCAGACACACTCACATAGATACAAACACACACACACAGTCAGACACACTCACATAGATACACACACAGACAGACACACTCATACAGATACACACACAGTCAGACACAGTCATACAGACATACACACCCACACCCACACACAGACAGACACACTCACATAAACAGACCCAAAGACACAAACTCACACAGATACACACACACACACACACTCACACACAGTCAGACACACTCACACAAACTCACACAGATACACACACACACACATACACACACACACTCACACACAGTCAGACACACTCACACACACACACAGACTCATACACAAACACACACTGGTCTCTCTCTCCCTGTCGTCTACAGTTGTTGCTTGTTATCTCCGTGGCAGTGAGGTATCAGTGGCGCAGACGGAGCAGGATAGTATCTGTTCTGAGGAGATTGGGTCACGGCGAGAATATTGTTCACACGAGTTTATTCAACTGTCGAGATATCGCCGCGTCTTCGGTTCAAGCGAGAGCTGAGCTTCAAAAGCAGGACACGTCGGTGCGAAGCCTCGACATATTCAAAAGTTTGGTTCCTGATTCCAAATGTGTTGAAAAGTACCTGGAGTTTTACACGCCGTGAAGAAGAGAGAAGAGAGAGAGCAGCTGTGTGAGGGAGAGGTCCTGCTGTCAGACTGTACAACGAACAACGAGGACTGATGAATACTGACAACCAGACCTCACGTATTGTGCAGTAGAGTAGAGTAGAGTAGGGTAGGGTAGGGCAGAGTAGAGTAGAGTAGAGTAAAGTAGGGTAGGGTAGGGTAGAGTAGAGCAGAGCAGAGTAGAATAGAGTAGAGTAGAGTAGGGTAGGGTAGGGTAGGGTAGGGTAGAGTAGAGTAGACTAGAGTAGGGTAGGGTAGGGTAGGGTAGAGTAGAGTAGAGAAGAGTAGGGTAGGGTAGGGTAGGGTAGAGTAGAGTAGAGTAGAGTAGAGTAGGGTAGGGTAGGGTAAAGTAGAGTAGAGTAGAGTAGAGTGGAGTAGAATAGAGTAGGGTAGAGTAGGGCCCATTAGAGTACAGTAGAGTAGGGTAGGGTAGGGTAGAGTAGAGTAGAGTAGAGTAGAGTAGAGTAGAGAGGGCCTATTAGAGTACAGTAGTGTAGGGTAGGGTAGGGTAGAGTAGAGTAGAGTAGAGTAGAGTAGAATAGAGTAGGGTAGAGTAGGGCCCATTAGAGTACAGTAGAGTAGGGTAGAGTAGAGTAGAGTAGAGTCTGTACATGTGTCTGTGGCAGAGTTTCTATTGTTTTACCGCGGCTCAGTCACAGAATGAAGCAGTAAATCCCATCAGCGCCGAGAGACCGTGACCATCACCACACGGAGAAACACACCTCTGCACCCGCTCTGACCCCGCGCTTCGATACTTAATAACAGCCTGTCTGCCTCTCCCCCCCCTCCCCTCCCTCCCCTCCCCTCCCTCCCCCCTCCCTCCATAATAAATGCATGAGCAGGCCTATTCTAACAGCATGATCCCCGGATACTTGCGAGTTATTGGTTTTACTGTAGACTCGACGGGAGCCAGGCCGGAAGCAGGATGCTAGGCTGAATGCTAATGACACGGAGGCGCATTATTGTGGCTTATCTGGCACCCTCGGGCCCCCCGGCAGGTGTATTTATAGCCCTCCCAAACCCACCTCTGGACCCGCGCCTCCCTCACCTGTCAGCGTCTCCATCTCGCTCTCTGGCTCCACACTTCTGTAACTCACTTTTTGTCCTACTTTTGGGCACCGCAGCCTTTGATTATTTAAATGTAGAACATGAAGGGGATGTAAATGAGTTTATCAAAGCGGGATCTTAACCGGCAGGAAGTAATGTATTCTGGGTAAAAATAAATCGCAGGTTTCACTGTGAGGGAAGTCAGGTTTGAGTCAGAGCTAATAAGCTAATCACTAATCATGCTAAATGGTGGGTTTACTGTTGATTTTCAGCACAGACGCAAACTGCAAAAAATGATAAAATATGAGGTAACAATGGTGTTTTTTTACCACTTTGAGTTCCTCGACTTGAAGCTTGAACTGAAATCTCGCTCTTTGGGGAATCTCACTGGGTTTGATCTCAACCATTTGGTAAAGGCCTGTAAAAATATAGGGGTTTAAATAAAAATGTAAAACTATTTATTATTGTCCTAAATCTTAGAAAAAAATTAGATTTATTTTTTCAAGGAGTGAACATGAAAGGGTTAATCTGAGAACACCTGACTGTCATTTAGTATTTTTTTCAAGAACTATTGCTTTATTTTCTCATTCCAAGGGAGACATTTCTTTTTATCATTTATCATTTTGCTTTGTCCCTTTGGATAATCTTGTTTAAAGGCTCAGGCAGAATGTGTCAGATATGAGCAATTTTTGACTTATTTTTCATCACCTTTTGCAGTGCACTAATCACTACTGTCTTAAGTTTGTTTTAGTTATGTTAGTTTTTAGTTAGAGGGCTACTTCAGTTCACTGTGACGAGAGAGACTAGACAGAGACCAAGAGCCGGACCCACGAGTCACGTTTCCACCGCAGGACCCTCCCCCACAGGAACATTCACAGGGCCCAACAGTCCCTGCTCTGTGCTAGGTACTCCGATCGGCCCTGAATGTTCTCAAAGACCTCCAAGACCACAACAATCTTTACGGTTTGGCGTAATGAGTTTTGCTTATGCTACAAACGAAAATCATGATGTCGCCGAGGGTCCTACTGCAGCGGAGACTCTGAGAGACCGAGGGAGAGGACAGTTCTTGTAGAAGTTTATTATCATCATTATTGCTATTATTAATATTATTAGCACAATTATTATCATTATTATTATTATTATTATTATTATTATTATTATTATTATTATCATGTTTTATTATTAATATTATTATTATTATTATTATTATTATTATTATCATGTTTTATTATTAATATTATCGTTATTATTATTATTATTATCATTATTATTATTGTTATTATTATTATTATTATTATTATTATCATTATTATTTATTATTATTATCATTATTATCATTATTATCATTATTATTATTATTATTATTATTATCATTATTATCATTATTATTATTATTATTATTATTATTACCATTAAATCTTTCATCTTGGGTCTTTGCTTTTGAATGTGCTTGAATGTCTACTTTCTTTGAGTTCCTCTGAAAAGCACTGAAGCCGATGCATTATTACTATTATTATTATCATTACAGTAGACGAAGAAAGAGTGACTTATGAACGGAGGCGTGTGATTGGTGCAGAAGGAGAACCATGAGAAATGTTCTGCTCCATGGGTTTCTCTGTAATGTTTCAGACCGAGTGGGTTATTTCCAGCTCACTTCACCTTTTGTAAGTTTGACAGAAATATAATCCACTTTCCACAGCTTCAGAGGGATGTGGTTGTGATTTGCCGATTGCCTTCAATAGTTTCCTCGACCATTTGGAAGTTTGGAACTGAAATCTACCTTTTTGGGACGTTTCACTTGGTTTTTGGCACTTTTACATCAAACTGTATCTGAACCATTTGGTAAAGGCCTAATAAAAAAAAAAAAGGGGTAAAAGTAGCAATATGTAAGATTTTCATGTCAAGTCATCATTAAAGGGCCCTAATCCGTCATCATTAAAGGGCCCTAATCTGTCGTCATTAAAGGGCCCTAATCTGTCATAATTAAAGGGCCCTAATCTGTCGTCAATAAAGGGCCCTAATCTGTCGTCATTAAAGGGCCCTAATCTGTCATCATTAAAGGGCCCTAATCTGTCATAATTAAAGGGCCCTAATCTGTCATCATTAAAGGGCCCTAATCTGTCATCATTAAAGGGCTCTAATCTATCATCTTTAAAGGGCCCTAATCTGTCATCAAAGGGCCCTAATCTGTCATCATTAAAGGGCCATAATCTGTCATCATTAAACGGGCCTAATCTGTCATCATTAAAGGGTCCTAATCTGTCATTATTAAAGGGCCCTAATCTGTCATAATTGAAGGGCCATAATCTGTCATCATTAAAGGGCCCTAATCTGTCATCATTAAAGGGCCCTAATCTGTCATTATTAAAGGGCCCTAATCTGTCATCATTAAAGGGCCCTAATCTGACATCATTAAAGGGCCATAATCTGTCATCATTAAACGGCCCTAATCTGTCATCATTAAAGGGTCCTAATCTGTCATTATTAAAGGGCCCTAATCTGACATCATTAAAGGGCCATAATCTGTCATCATTAAACGGCCCTAATCTGTCATCATTAAAGGGTCCTAATCTGTCATTATTAAAGGGCCCTAATCTGTCATAATTGAAGGGCCATAATCTGTCATCATGAAAGGGCCCTAATCTGTCATCATTAAAGGGCCCTAATCTGTCATTATTAAAGGGCCCTAATCTGTCATCATTAAAGGGCCCTAATCTGACATCAATAAAGGGCCCTAATCTTTCATAATAATAAACTGCTCTTTTCCAATACTTCT